TTGCCTTTTTGCATATTTTCTGCCTTGGTACTTTTAAAAGTAAATAAATAAAAATAACTTAAAAGTATATTCCAGTGGAATTAGAAGAAATTACACTATTGAATGCATAAAGTACTTGTAACAGGTAAAGTAGTTTTAGAGACTATCCCTTTTGTCTCTATATAAGTATTCTATATGACATATGAAGGTATTAGCTTCTCTAAGAAGAAATTATATAAATTGTAACTTTGGCTCTTTTAGTTTCCCTGGATTTTACAAGATTATACTTCAGAAGAGTTGGATCTTAATAATCCTGCTGTATTTCGAGATCTTTCTAAACCAATTGGAGTAGTTAATGATAAAAATGCCAAAGCCATGCGAGAAAAGTAAGTGATTTGTAACTCTGTGGTAATATATATTGTTTGATTTCTTTTGATTTCTGCCATTGTCAGCCAAATGTTATTTTTTTTAATACCAAGTACTTTTAATACTTAGTTTGATAATTGCTTCACTAAATTTTTTGGTTCTGTTGCTAAGAATTGCTTTCTAAAGGGTAATAGTTTTTGTTTTGTTTTGTTTTGTTTGTTTTGTCGGTCGTGGGGCCTGAAATCTGGGTCTGGGTGCTGTCCCTCAGCTCTTCAGCTCAAGGCTAGTGCTCTACCACTGGAGCCACAGCACCGCTTCTGGCTTTTTCTGTTTATGTGGTGCTAAGGAATAGAACCCAGGGCCTCATGCATGCAAGGCAAGCATTTTACCACTGAGCCACCTTCCCAGCCCCGGATAATAGGTTTTTGATATTTTTCTTTCCAAGTATTTTAGACTTACCCTACTGATATATGTATAAATGTTCATCTGATAGAATATTTTGAAAAATGGTATAAAATAGATTATCCTAACCTATTATTCCAAATAATGTGAATGAAAATAATCAATGGAAATTCAGAAAGTTTAATTTTGATAAGAGAAGCAAAATTTCTAGAAGTTCTACTCACCTGTCAACTTCTCACAGAGTTGGGTTGTTTTTTTTTTTTTTTTTTTTTTTTTTTAAATCAAGCTCTAATACAAAGGATAATTTATTTTTTGTTTTTGTACTGGTCCTGGGGTCTTGAACTTAGGCCCTGGGCACGTCCCTGAGCTTTTGTGCTCAAGGCTGGCATTCTGCCACTTGAGCCATAGCTCCACTTCCAGCTTTTAGGCGGATAATTGGAGAGATTCATCTCATGAATCTCACTAGCTTTGAACTGTCCTGAGATCTCAGACTCCTGAGTAGCTAGGATTACAGATGTAGCCACCAGTACCCCAATTTTATTTATTTTTTTCCTTTAGATTACTACACATTGATTTCCACAACTTTGTGTGTTTGTTTAGTACTGGGGTTTGAACAGGGGGCCTTATGTTCTCATTTGGCCTTTTTGCTCAAGGCTGGCCCTTTACCACTTGAGCTATACCTCTACTTTTGAATATTAGCAGGTTAATTAGAGAAAAGTATCAGGGGTTTTCCTGCCTGAACTTAATTCAAACCACTATCCTCATACTCAGCCTCACAAGAAGCTAAGATTATATTTGTAAACCACCAGCATCTGGCCAATTTCAACAATTTTTGACTCCTGTTTCATGCATTTTTCTATTACCTTCATCACAAAAGGATGTCTAATTATCATATTGCTTATAATAACATAAAAATGCAAATAACCAAATGTCTAAAGTATGAAAGTGTTAACTTTTTGTACATAATATACTTTGCAATTTCATGCATCTATTTAAAATATTATTGTTTGGAAAAATGTTAACAGAAAATTCCTAAAAGATAAAGACATTTGCATGTAAAATGTATAGCATTTTCATATTTAAAAATATTCATAGGAGCTGCGCACTGCTGGCTAACAGCTATAATCTTAGGTATTCAGTAGTCTTAAGATCTGAGAATCTGAATTTGAGACAGCTAGACAACCTTGAAATGCTTATCTTCAATTAGCAAAAAACAAACTAGAGGCGTGGCTCAAGTGGTAAAGTTGCAGCCATGAGCAAAAAAGCTAGAGTAAGGGTGTTAGGTATGGATTCAATTCCCAGTAACAGCTCATATACACAAAACAATTGTATGACTGGGGATTTAGCTCAGTGACACAGCAAGCATCTGCCTATAAGGCCCTGGATTTGGCCTGCGACACTGTTAAAATATGAATATAAATATATACATTAAAAGTGACAGACATTCCTCAAAAAGGTATTATCATATCTGGGAATTAGAATGAATTATAATTAATTTTAAATTTCTTCTATTTAAATTATTTTTTAAATTTTTCCACAGTTATTATTACATTATACAAAAAATTTCAGAATTGTATAGTGGTGATATTTATGGTGTGGAAAAATGTGTAAAAATTTTATATGAATATGATTTAATGGATACAAATACATAGTTTGATAACCAAGCATGCGAATATGGACTGGCTTTTTAAAATTACTGTGTTTTCAATAAAAGTATACAACAACCCTCTTATGTAATTTTACTAATGTGATTATAAAACTCTACTTTCTTTTCTTAGATATGAAAATTTGAGGATCCTATGGGAACTGTTGATAAGTTTCATTATGGTACTCACTATTCCAATTCTGCAGGAGTCATGCACTATCTTATCCGGGTAGAACCATTTACTACCCTCCATATTCAGCTTCAGAGTGGAAGGTATGTTTAGAGTAAATAAACTATTTTCTTATGTCTGTGTTAGTGTTGAATACTGTCTGCCTTTATGGCATTTGCTGTGTTACCAGGCCATGTCTTTTTAAAATTCTTGTTTACTAGAATTTAATGCAGATAAAAATAGTCACACTAATTTGAGAATGAACTGATTGACACGAATGACTCTAAGGGGAATTTTTTTTCACTATTAACACAGTGCACTGGAAGTGGCACTGTGGCTTAAGTGGTGGAGCACTAGCCTTGAGCTGAGGAGCTGAGGGACACCGCTCAGGCCCAGAGTTTAAGTCCCACGGACCAACAAAAATAAATAAATAAATAGAACCCAATGCACCTTTGGGATTCGTACTGTTCTGAGGAACGCACTAAAGATTCCGATCTAATTGATATCTAATTGAGAGCTACATATAAGCTATGTACAGAATCAAATCTCAGCATTGACTGTGTAATCCTAAGAATATTTGTAAGGCAAATGGAAAGAGGAAACCATGGAGGGATAACACTGCCTTAAGAAGTCTTTGCTACCACTGTGTTAACATATTATCTGTGAGTATTTTAAGTTACCTACTTCACAGTTTTCTAATAATTATAAATAAACTTCTCTGAGAATCTTCTGTCCCTCAGTGAATCTTCCAAGTAGCTCTATTTTTATACTCATTTAGTTCACCTGTTGCTGTATTTCTTAGCATTACCATTTTGCCTTCCCTACCCAGTCATCCCCATCTTAAGTATAATAATAAACCTTGGTTTGGAAGAAAAGACTGTCCCCAAGATCATGAAACAGCACTAAAATATTAAATTTATCATGATAAGAGGTAATTTTCCCTCATAAGATACAATAAAGTATAACTAGATCTTTTCAGCTTTTTCTTATTTCCTGAATAAATAATTATTTACAGAACTTCAAAATGAATTCTTTTTATATTTCAGAAACACCATCAAGAAAATGCAAACGATCTTGAAAATTTGATGAAGGGTTTGCCTCTAGAATATATAATGAACCCTTACAACCAAAAAATAAAAATTAAAACAAAATTAAAAATGGACAGAGGATATAAATAGCTATTTCTTTAAAGAAAGCAAACAAATATCTAGTAAATAAATGTAAAAATGCCTTAATATCATTACCTATCAGGGAAACTGAAATAAAAATCATGTGAGAGATCATACCCACTAAGATGGCTATAATAAAAAAATATTTTTTAAAAAACCTTTTATTGGTTAACTGTTGAGCAATTGGATATCTGTACTGCTTGAAGTCTTTGTGAAAAATAATCTGGCATTTCTTCAAAAGGCTAAATGTAGAAGTGCTATTTAATCCAACAATTGTCCTACTAGATGCATATTCAAGATAAATTGAGACATAGGGTCACACAAAAGTTTGTACAGGGGCTGGGAAGGTGGCTTAGTGGTAGAGTGCTTGCCTTGAATGCCAGAGGCCCTGGGTTCGATTCCTCAACACCACATAAGCAAAAAAAGAAAGCTGGAAGTGGCACTGTGGCTCAAGTGGTAGAGCGCTAGCCTTGAACTGAAGGACAGTGCCCAGGCCGAGTTCAGGCCCCATGACCCGACCCAAAAAAAAAAAAAGTTTGTACACAAATGTTTATAATAGCACATAATAGTTCATAATAGTTGTAACACAGTATTCATCTACTGACACATGAGTAAATAAATGTAATATATCCATAAAATGGAATATTATTTGGCTGTGCATGAATAAAAAGACTAAAATATTGACACATGCTACACCATGAACGAACCTTTAGAACATTATGCTGAAAGACATAGGTATGCCAGAAGTCCACATATTCTGTGTGTTATGTGAACAGGCAAATCCATGGAGACAGAAAACAAATTATTATTTGCCAGGGATGAGAAGGTTCTAAAATTGATTATGGTAATGTTTGCAAACTAGGAATATACTCAGTTACATCATTGTACCATCCACCTCAGTTGAGTCAGTAGCATGGTGTATTGGTTTTATATCAGTTAACTTGGTATCTCTTAATTGTGAATAGGCCATCATTAGACTTTTTAAGTGGCCTAATGTTTGTCTGTAATTGAATTCATAGTTATGGTATGATTAGCTGTCTTAAATTAAGACTAATAGACATTAAAAAGTCAAATTAGTCATTAGAGTCACTTTATTCCTCATATCATGGCTTTAATTTTTTAGCCTCAAGATTAATGCTTTATAAATCTAGTAATACATTATCTAAGGCAGTAAAACAAAGAATTTGTGCTTTTTGTGTTAAAGAAAAATAATATAATTCTGGCATTACTGCTTGAGCTTATTCTGACAACTATAGACTGCGTACCCATAAAATTAATTTGGTTACAGTGACTCAAACCTTTAATGCTAGCTACTTCGGAGGTAGAGATTAAAGGATTGTAGTTTAAGATTAGCTCAATAAAAGAAGTTTGAGAGACTCCAGTGGCTTAGTGTAGTAACATACACTTGTTATTCAGCTATAAAGGAAAACACAAATACAAGTAATCATAGTCCAGTCTAGTCTGGTCATAAATCAAGACCTACCTTGCAAATAACCAATGCAAAAAGGGACTGGAGACATTGCGTAAGTAGTAGAGCATTTATTTACTTAGCAAACACAAGGACCTACATTTTATCTCCATTACCACCAAAAAATTAATTATAAATTAAATAAAGCCAATTTTTATGAAAATAAAATATAACTTAGCTACAGAGCTAATTTCCTAACTTACCAACTCTGGTTTTCAGCAGAAGAATTTGTATCTCCATTCATGTATTAAAGATTTAAGTCAGTGGCATTCTTGTAAGTCCATTAACCAAGTATATTAACACTATAAGATTTAGGCATAAAATTTGTGCTTTTTTTATTGTTTATTTTATAGCCTGGAGTTTGAACTCAAGGGCTTGAGCATTCACCAGCATTCTACTATTGTGCTTTACTCCTTACCCTATCTAAGCTTTTTTTCCCCTCAAGTCTCTTAAGAGTATATTTAATTTACATGGAATTTTTCCATTGTGGCTGGATTTTCAACTGTTTTAAGATGATTATTGGTGGTTGAAATTATAGCATTTAGCTCTTGACAACAAAATATGAAAGACATTGAAAATTATGTTTATAGACATTAAAGAGAAAGATTAACATTAGAATAGCTCTACTGGGCACAATGGCTCATGCTTGTAAGTTCAGCTACTTAGGAGGCAGCTATAGGTAGATCATGGTTCAAGGCCAGCCCGGGCAAAAAGCAGGACCTCAGAGAACAAGCTGGAAGTAGTATTTCACGCCTGTAATCTTGGTTAACACAGGAGGCATACACATAAGGATATTAGTCTGAGGCCAGCTAAAGCAAAATGTGCAAGACCTTATCTGAAAAAAAATAGCCAAAGCAAATAAGCCCTGGGAGTTTTGGCTCAGGTGGTAAAATGTCTGCATAGCAAGCATGAGACCTTGAGTTTAACCCCAATAAAAACAACAGCAAAACAAAAAGTGCAGGTCTAATAACTTAATCCTTAAAGTAGTTTCAACATTTTGTTTCACATGTCATGGCTACTTTCACCCACTAGTCACTGTTCTCTTTCAATTCTCACATGCAGGTTTGACTGTGCTGACCGACAGTTCCATTCCATTCCTGCTACCTGGCAAGCGCTCATGGATAATCCTTATGATGTGAAAGAACTTATTCCTGAATTCTTCTATTTCCCAGAGTTTTTGGAAAATCAAAATCGTAAGAAATAGGGTTAAAAATCTCATTGCATCCCAATGGAGAAGCCTGAAGAAATATCTTTCAGTCTGTTTTGTAATATTGTATTCCTACAGTTTATTCTGTGCATGAAGTACTCAGTGGCATGGTCTAACTGTGCCCGTATACAATCTTATCTTCCAGGGAAGGGCTACAGGGAACTAAGATAAATGAATCAAATTTGAACTGCTACAGTGTGTACTAAGAAGCAAAAATGGCTATATGCTGTCATTAAAAGCCTTTGAGTTAGATAAGGTGAGGATTTTGGTGGACCAAATGCATGAGTAAACTCATGTTTTTGTAGTTTTATTGGAACACAGCTAGCAAATTCATTTATGTATCAACTGTGTATCGCTCCTTACTGTGTATATCACTACAAACTAAAAAATATTTGTTTGAGTATAGTGACTCATGCCTATAATCCCAGCTTCTTGGGAGGTGAAGATAGGGGGGATCAATTTGAGGTTTCCATGAGAAAAAAAAAAGTCACAATCTTAAAGAACAAGCTGGGTTAGATGCCAGTGGCTCATACCCGAAATCCTAGCTTCTTTCAGGAGGCTGAGATCTGAGAATCATGGTTTGAAGTTAACCCAAGCAGGAATGTTCATGAACCTTATCTTCAAAAACCTTGCAGTTGAAATGTGTGGCTCAAGTGGCAAAACATCAACTTTGAGTGGACAACGCCCAGGCTTTTGAGTTCAAGCCCAAATACAGGCATGTGTGTGTGTGTGTGTGTGTGTGTGTGTGTGTGTGTGCATGTGTGTATGCACGTGCATGTGCTTGTGTGTATGTTCACAAAAAAGGAAAAAAGGAACAAACTGAGCATGATGGTAAACACCTGTAATTCTAGATGCCGAGAGTTATAGGTAGGATTATTGGGTTCAAATGGTAGGGGCATAAATCGAGTATAGAACTATTGCCTAGCAAGTTATAAGACTCCTGAGTTCAAGCTCCAGTACCATCCTCCCCATCAGAAAAAAAAAAAGGAGGAGGCTAGGAAGGTGGCTCAGTGGTAGATTGCTTGCCTTGCTTGCATGAGGCCCTGGGCTCGATTCCTCAGCACCACATAAAAAGAAAAAGTCCAAAGTTGCACTGTGGCTCAAGTGGTAGAGCACTAACCTTGAGCTGGAGAGCTGAGGGACAGCGCCCAGGCCCAGAGTTCAGACCCCACAACCGACAAAAATAAAAAATAAAAAATAAAAAATAAATATATATGTACATATATATACATATATAATCATATATATGTGTGTGTATATATGTTTATCTATATATGTTTATCCTTGATCCTCTATAGAAAATTTGCTGAATCCTGTTTTACAATATATATGAGGAAGCATATTGTTTACTACACTATTTGAAAATTAAAATTATGTTTTTGAAGTAGAGAAGCATGATGTTAAATAAGTAGTATGTGTGTAAGTGTATGGGTAGGGGTGAGTGTGAGTGTGTGTGCACGCGCGCGCGTGTGTGTGTGTGTGTGTGTGTGTGTGTGTGTGTGTGTGTGTGTGTGTGTATTTCTGGAGTTGCTACATAGGCATTCTACAACCTGAGCCATACCATTAGCCAATTTACTTTCATTTTGTTTCAAGTAGAAACTCATTTTTTGTCAGGGCCAACCTGGGCTGCAATCCTGCATGGCTGAAATGACAGGCTCATGCCACTGTGCCCTTTTGACCTGGGCTCTTTTTACTTTTTTAAAGCTTTTTATCCTTGTCTACCACTCAAGTATCTATAGGATTTCAGGTGTGAGCTACTACTCTTGGCCTAAATCTTTTAAAATATCCAAAAAGTTTTCTGCACAATAGTTTTACATTTCACTCATTTATTCATTCATTCAGTGGCATTGGGTATTGAGTTCAGAGCCCTGCACTTGGTAAGCAGGTATTCTCCCATGGAGCTACATTTCTAGCCCTACACTTTTTTTTTTTTTTTTGTCGGTCATGGGGCTTGAACTCTGGGCCTGGGCACTGTCCCTCAGCTCTTCAGCTCAAGGCTAGCGCTCTACCACTTGAGCCATCACGACACTTCTGGTTTTCTGAGTGGTTTATTGGAGATAAGAGTCTCATGGACTTTTCCTGCCGGGGCTGGCTTTGAACCATGAACCCAGATCTCAGCCTCCTGAGTAACTAGGATTACAGGTGTGAGCCTGGCTCCTACACTTATTTTTAAGCACATATAAAGAAATAGACAAGATTTTGCTAGTTGCTGTTCTTTAGGACAATTCAAGTGTCATTTTCCAAATTTTTTTTCTCCCCCAGCAGATAACATTAATGTTGGACCTTCACTTGCTTACTAAAATTATTCTTTATAGTGTAGAAAGCACATTCAGAATTAATGTCAGTTTGCTCATGCATTGCAAAACATGTTGTTGGTGACAAGAGTATTTCATTCTCAGAGTAAGAGAATCAGAGTTGCTGACTTTCAGAAAATGAGGTTGGCCTCTGATTCTAGACTCAATGAATTATTAGACTGGAGTTTCTGGGAGCTTCCAGAGTATATTGGATTAGCAGGGTAAATACAGATGAAAATTTCAAGATACTCTTGGCTTGACACATCCTGACATTTATTGTAATGAATTGCTGTCCTCAGTACTATAACATGATGGCTCCATTTCTAACTATATATTTTCTTTGTCTGAAATGAGGAGGGGTAAGCGAAAGCAAATGTCAGTCAATATACCTTTAGGCCAAGTGCTGGAGACTCATGCCTATAATCCTAGCTCTATAAATATAGCTAGTATATATATATATATATATACATATATATATATATATACACACACACACACACACACACACACACACACACACACACATACATATATACCTTCAGGAATGAATTATAATTTAAGCCAGTTGAACCTGTGACTAGTATAAATGGTGATATAGTGTAAATAGTGAAATATAGTATTTTCTATGCAAAAGCACAGAGGAATGCTAGTTTCAGATAATATAATCACTGCCAATTTCTTTCTGTATTTTCACTCTGCCATTCTGATTGATGGGGCGTTTTCCATGTGTCTAGTACCTTTCCTGGTTACAAATGACTTAGAAGTAGATACAATAGCATCTTAGAAGTGGAATTGTTAACATATTGTGCCCTTTTATTTATTTATTTATTTTTGGTTGTTGTTGTTGGTGGTGGTGGTGGTGGTCATCGTGGGGCTTGGGCACTGTCCCTGAGCTGTTCAGCTCAAGTGCTTTACCACTTGAGCCACAGTGCCACTTCCGGTTTTCTGGTGATTAATTGGAGATAAGAGTCTCATGGACCTTTCTGCCAGGCTGTCTTTGAACCGTGATCCTCAGATCTCAGTCTCCTGAATAGGTAGGATTACAGGCCTGAGCCACCAGTGTCCAGCTTTGTGCCCTTTCTTAAAAGTAAGAAACTCTTTCTTTTTGGTGATATTAGGTTTGAACTCAGGGTCTTGTGTTTGCTAATTAAGCACTTACCCTCTCACTTGAACCAATCAACTCCTTTTTGTTTTGGTTGTTTTCAGGGTAGGGGGGTCTCAATTTATGCCCAGACTAGTCCATTTGTAGCTAGGATGGTAGGTAATCACCACTGTGCCTAGTCATTAGATAACAGACATGAGCTACTTAGCCATTGATTGAAATGAAGTCTTTAGAACTTTTATGCCTGGGCTGGCCTTGAACCATGATCTTCCAATCTTTCCTTCCTAAGTAGCTAGGATTAAAGGCAGAGCCAAAAACCCTTTCATATAACCTCTTTCTTCAGAACTGGGTCATGTATTAACCTCTAAATGGGTACATGAATAGATATGAATTATAGGTCAGAGTGAGCATTCAAGTAAAATAAAGGTTCTGCTAGCAATTAAAAAATAAAACCATCGGTGAACAATGAATGGTATCTATTACATAGTGGAAGATTTAACATAAAGAAAAAGACCCTGTGCATCCTATCGTTCTATGAAATTTAAACGTCTTCCCAACTTGGGGATGATGATATTTTAAAGGCAGCACACAGTTAGTTTAAAGCTGTTATTTTAAGATTTTTTGGAGGTGTTTATGTTAACACTTCCTATCACACTGCATAATGAAGAAAACTTCATATTTGGGAAAATTTTTTAAATGCATGTTCTAACTATAAAACAAATCTTCATTATGGAAGTATCTACTTAGAATGATGGTATATAAATATCTTATTATTCTATAACACAAATACAGCTCTTCCAATAAGTGAATTTAAGGTACAAGTAACCACAAAAAGCTCTAAGGAATTATATTTTGTGAGTTAAAGCATTAGAGAAACTGTATTATTTATTTATAATGTAAGAAGAATAATTAATATTGCATGGATTAAAGTGAAAGTTGTAGCTATAATTACCTCCAGTTTTACATTGTGATAATAAATTTAAAACTATTTCATGGTTTTTTTTTTGCTTTATTGTACTCAGTTTTGAACTCAGGACCTTGCTAAAGCAAGTGTCTACCACATGTGCTATATCTCCAGCTCTTTTTACTTTAGTTTTTTTAATAGGTTCTCAGTTTTTGCCTTGATCTACCCTGGACCACCTACCTCCTATTTACACTTCCCTTATACCTACGATGACAAACATGCACCACCATGCCCAAAACAAGGTCTTACCAACTTTTTGGGGGGGCTAGAATCCAACCTTAACCCTCCCAATCTCTGTCTCCTGAGTAGGTAGGATTATACTCATGAGCTACTATATATGATTATGAGTTTTAATTAAGGGATAAAGTATGTTCTAATAAATAAGAAGTTTTAAAAAGCCATGTATTTTGCCTAGTAATATGACTTATTTGTATTTTTGTAACTTCATTTCTTTAAATCTACAGCAATTTGATTCTTTATCTTTACATGTCTCAGAATTTAATTTGGGTCGTCTTCAAGTCTCCAAAGAGCTAGTAAATGATGTCATTCTTCCCAAATGGGCTAAATCAGCTGAAGATTTCATCTGTAAACATAGAAAAGCTCTGGTAAGAGTTTTGTCTACTAACAGATTATTATTCAAATGTGCTTTTCAAAGAGTATAATAAAATGCATCTATTTTTCTAGTTTAATTTGTAACCTATTAATACAAATGCTATTTTAGAAAGTACAACATAGTAATTTATTTTTAGAATATGAATCTTTTGATACAATGAGTATATAATACAGTACATAAACATGTCACAAAGTACAAGTTAAGCAAAACACTAACGTGTGTTTATTTCCTCTTATTTTAAACTGTTATTGTCATTTTTCATCCTGTATTAGATTAATAGTACAATAATCTAGAATATAGTAGATATAAATTGAATGATCAGTGTATGTAATAGATACTAGATAAAAGTTTAAGATGATGAGCTGGGTACTTAGGTGGCTCATGCCTGTAATCTTAACTACTCAGAAAACTGAGATCTGAGGATGGCTACTCAAAGCCAGCCTTGGCAGGAAAGTCTGTGAGACTATCTGCAATTAATCACAAAAAAAAAAAAAAGCCAGAAGCATAGCTATGGCTCAAGTGGTAGAACACTAGCCTCAATCTGAAAAGGCTCAGGGTCTGTACCCAGAGCCCTGAATTGAAGCCCAGGACTAGCAAGAAAACAAACAACCAAACTACCAAAAAAAAGAATTGTGTGTACAAAACCAAGGCTAGTCATCTCTTCATTAAGATGGAGTCTTTTCTGTGTTGGCTGGCCTAAAACAGTGATCTGCCTAGTCTCAGCCTCCCACATGGGGTAGGATACAGGAATCGCCACCGTGCTCAGCTATTTATACTGTAGTTGGAAGATGTCCATGTTAATTCTTAAATTTCCTCTTTTTCTAGGAGTCTGAATATGTTTCAGCTCACCTTCATGAATGGATAGATCTGATTTTTGGGTATAAGCAGAGAGGTCCAGCAGCAGTGGAAGCACTTAATGTTTTCTATTACTGTACTTATGAAGGTATAAACTTTTATACTTTCTCTTAAATTATTATTGGCTTTATGTGTACATGGTATTTTGAGCCTATCTTACAGAAAAGACTAAATTACAAAACAGCTTTCTGGTTTAAAGATTTAGAAACTGCTGCCTTTTCTTTTAATAATAGTGGTTAATTGTGTTCATTAGACCCTTGGCATCAAGGTACAGTTTGCCATTAAGGAAAAACCATAACTGCTCAAGATGCATAGAACTCAGTACTGTACTGCAGATGCTTGAATCGTTTTTCCCCACAACTCCACCTAGGTGTTACTAAAACATGCTACCTTTCAACAGATCTAAAATTTTTATTATTTAAATTAAGCACATTAATTTTTACCTGCTTCTTGAGCACCATTTACTTTTTGGGAGGCTTATGTTCACAAAATGAAAGACAAGAAAACACTAAGAAAATCACACATTTAAACACAACTGTTAGCAATGGATGACTGACTGAGAGCTACTCCGTATCATCTGAACTTTTCAGTGTTTATATGGGAATTTAACATTTTTGTTTTTAAAATTTCTTTTGATATTTTAATTGTTTCTCATTTGACTATACTTTATCAAACCATGAGAATATGATGGCTTTAGTCTGTATTTAAGTATGATTATAAATTTGAATATTGTATGTCCTATTTAGGATCCTACTTTATTCTGACTTATATTATTTTCAAACTTTGAAAAAAGGCCTGTAATCCGAGCAGTTTAGGAGATTAAGAACAGATGGGTTTATGTCTGAGTCCAGTACAGACAGAAAAGTTCACTAAACTCCATTTCAACCAATATCTGAGCACAGTGGCGATTCTTGTATTCTAACAACCTATGTGGGAGGCTGAGATTAGGAAGATCACTGTTTTAGGTCAGCCCACACAGAAAAGACTCCATCTTAATGAGAGAGATGACTGGGCTTGGTTTTCCACACGTATCATCCCAGCTTGGATAAGAGCCCTAAAATAGATAGGTTGTAGTACAGGCACACTCCCATTTAGGAAGCAAGACCCTGTCTCAAAAATAAACACTGTGTAAAAAGGCTGGAGGTGTGCTCATCAGCAGAGTACCTGCTTGGCAATCATGATTCCCTGAGTTCAAGCCTACATACTGAAAAAAGAATTCAATTAAAATTATTTAGCTCAGAAGAATGTTTTGTGATGGCTTAAAAGGCAAAGAAGTCATTATCTCTTTACTAATTATTAAGTGGATCTAGTAGTTCTAAAGATTATGAATGGTGTGGAGTTTTGTGAATTTGAACAGAGCTCACATGACTTTTGGTAAATAAATAATCTATTTTTACTATGCTAGATCAGTTCAGACCATTGACTTTTTTTTTGATCATGTGGCTTGAACTCGGCTTGGGTGCTGTCTGTGTGCTCTTCAGCTCAAGGCGAGTGCTCTACCGCTTGAGCCACAGCACCAATTCCGGTTTTCTAGTGGTTTATTGGAGATAGGAGTCTCATGGAGTTTCCTGCCTGGGCTGGCTTTGAACTTGATCCTCAGATCTCAGCTTCCTGAGTAGCTAGGATTACAGGCATGAGCCACCAGCGCCTGGCCCATAGACTTATTAAGGAGGTAGTTCTACATGATTTAGATTTAAACTGACTTGGCCAGTTATTAGGAATTTAGAAATGTAAAAACCCTTATTAAGTGTGGCTTGACTATATTCAGTTGACAAAAACATCACCTTTCTAAAACCTTTCTTTCTTCCTTCTTCCCTTTTTTCCTTCTTCTCTCCCTCCTCCCTTCCTGACTTCCTCACTTCCTCCTTTCTTCCTTTTCTTCCCTTTCTTCTTTCTTTCCCTTCTTTACTTTCTTTCCTTTGCCAGTCCTGGGGCTTCAACTCTGGGTGGGACACAGTCCCTGAAATTGTACGCTGGAGCCACAACTTTACTTCTGGCTTTTTGTGGTTAATTGGAGATGTGAGTCCCATGGACTCTCCTGCCCAGTCTGGCTTTGAATTGTTGTATTCAAATCTTTGCCTCCTGAGAAGCTAGGATTTAGGCATGAGCCACTGGTTGCTGGCCTAAAACCTTTATTTTTAAGTAGTGATATATTTACAGAACTTTTCTAGAATATGCCTAACAATCTCTTAATGTACTTTAGTTCTAAATTATGAATGGAATTTATTTTTATGCATTTTTAATGTTTGAAGATTTACTGGGTTAAAAATTACCTCTACCCAATATTATTATAAATTGAACAGATAATATTTAGGTAAAAATAATCTAAAGCCTCCAAGATAATAGTTATTTACCATGCTGATCTGTTTTCACTCTATTGTGAGTTGACTACATCTCCTGGTTTTAGGAGCTGTTGATCTGGATGCCTTAACAGATGAAAAGGAAAGAAAAGCCTTAGAAGGGATGATTAATAATTTTGGGCAAACACCCTGTCAGTTGTTAAAGGTAAATATTATGTAACTTATTGACAGCTTAAGAGGTCTAGAATTAAATTGCTACGGAACAATGCTACAATTATTTTTAAGGGTTTTAATTAAGAACCTTAGTGAATTTGGAAAAAAATTATACTTATCACTTAAAATAGATTTAATTGATTGTTATTATTTTGAAAGTAAAAAATACTGCAGTTAAGATCCATGTATGACATGAAATATTTTTTTAAAAATCCATGTATGAAGCCAGGTATGTGAGACATGCCTATAGTTTTGCTTACTTGGGAGGTTGTGGTGTGAGAATTGTTAGTTTTAGGCCAGCTTGGACAACATAGTGACTCTACATCTCAATAAAGAGACTCTCCATCTTACCCTGCCATCAGAGGTAGTTGAGAAGGGGGATGGTCTGATATGATTTCCACTTAGGCAGCTGAAATCACGGCTATGGAAGGTACTGTGGTCAATGGTCTTGCCCTTTGGCAAGTGCAAACCCTATCACCTGAGAAATACTGTGGAGATTGAGAGCTCTGAGCCCAGGCCTGTGATATTGTTCAGTGTTTGCAGCCTATTTGCCACAGGGTGATTTATTCCTGGGCAAGATCCAAAAGGTCTGAGATTAGCAGACAGAGTTCCAGAGTCCCAATTCTCTTGTTCCATGCAGATCTCAGTACTGTTTGCTTCCCCAACTCTGACACCCTCAAGAAGATACCTCTTGCCTTGCTCATTTGCTGTAGCACTTGGTGGAGTCTCTGGAGCAAGTGGGAATCTTCCTTGCCCTCAGACCACAAAGCTTATTGGGGCTAGCAGTGGTTTTGTGGGTCACAAAAAAGGGAAGCTTTTAAAGAGAATGTAGCCTTAAAGCTGAAAGGGTTGGCCCTCAGCCCATATACAACACCAGCCTGAACAGAATAGAATCTAGCCATAATACTCTTCCCACCTTACTCTACTCCACTTGAAATCTTCCAGTCTTACCTCTAAGACTGGAAGTTTCTCAAAAGGAGCATCTCTACTTTTAAAAAAAATTACATTTTTAGTATTCTTTTTATGTTATTCTTTAAAAGTTATATTTTGGTATTTTACTTTTTTGGTCTTTTATTCCTCTTTGTGCATTTCTCTAGTTTAGTCATATTATCATCATCACTATTTTTATTATTGGAGGCAGTGGTGGTAATGGTGGTAATGACACTGGGCTTTGTACTCAGGGCTCAGTCATGCATATAGCCCCCTTTTTCTTTGGTTTAGAGATAAGATGTCACTTTTTACCTGTAATAGTGTGGATCATGATTCTCCAGATTCTATACTTCTTACTGTAACTGAATGATAGGCGTACATCCACATGCTCATCTTTTTCTGTTAAAATGGGTTCTAGTGAACTTTTTTATTTTTTAACCTGAGCTGACCTGGGACCATGATCTTCCTGATTTCATCCTCCTATATAGTTGGATGACAAGTGCATGTCCTTATGGCCAAGCTATCCATTGAGAAGGGATCTCATGAATTTTTTGTTCAGGCTGGCTTTGAATAACAGTCCTGGTCTCCATCTCCATAAGTGTGAACCACTGTCACCCTGTTATCTACTTGACTTTTTGTCTCTTGTGCTTTTTTACTTCTCACATTCTTTTTATTTTTCATTCTCTTTTTATTTAACATTGTTCTTTCTTTCCCCTCATACCTCCTTTATTTTATTCGTTTATTTTTTTAAACTTTGTTCATTTTTTTTATTTTGTTTTCTGGCATTTGTTAGTTTATCGCAAGGCCTCACACTCTTGGGTGATTTTTTTTTTTTGTGCAAGGTTGGTACTCTACCACTCTTGCCACAGCTCTACTTCTGGCTATTTGCTGGTTAAATGGAAATAAGAGGCTCACAGACTTTTGCCATGTCTGGCTTCAAATTGTGATCCTCAAATTTCTGCCCCCTGAGTAACTAGGATTGCAGGTGTCAGCCACCAGCACCCATCTTTATTAGTTTTTAACTCCATAAACTAATCAATATTTTTATTGCCGCTTTCTTTTTTTGTGGTGGTTAAGGTTATAGTAGTTGGCTTTAATTGATTTGAGGTTGGTCAGAACAAGTATTTAAACTCAGGGCCTTGCATTTGCTAGTTAAGGTGCTTTACCACTTGAGCCATGCACTCAAGGCCTTTCTCCTTTACAATTTTTTGAGTAGGGTATTGTTTTATACTTAGGCCAACTTGGACTTCAATTCTTTTTTTTTTATTTTTTTTGTCGGTTGTGGGGCTTGAACTCTGGGCCTGGGTGCTGTCCCTCAGCTCTTCAGCTCAAGGGGAGTGGTCTACTTGAGCCACAGCACCCTTCTGGTTTTTCTAGTGGTTTATTGGAGATAAGAGTCTCATAGACTTTCCTGCTCAGGCTGGCTTTGAACTGTGATCCTCAGATCTCAGCCTCCTAAGTAGCTAGGATTATAGGCAAGAGTCACCGGCGCCCGGCTGGACTTCAATTCTTTTATTAACTCTTCCCATGTAGTTAGGGTGACAGGCATGTACCACCATATCCAGCTTTTATTGGTTGAGATAGGGATCTGGTGAACTTTTTTGCCAGAGCAGGCCTGAAATCCTAATCCTTCTGCTATCTACCTCCCATTTTTAATATATATGTCTGGCTTGTTTTGGTAGTGTTGCTATTACAGCATTTTGTTTTGGTTTTCTTCTCTTGTGGATTGAACTCTCAAGAGAAAGCTGTTCACCTAAAATATCCCTGTCACTGGGTGCTGGCTAAGATCTAAGGACCATGGTTTGAAGCTAGACCAAGCAGACAAATCTGAGATAATCTTATCTTCAGGTAGTCAGCAAAATGCTGGAAGTATAAATGGGGCTCAAGTGGAATGCTAGCCTTGAGTGAAAAAAGTAAGAACATGAGGCTCTGAGTCCATGCCTCAGTACACACACGTGCATGCATGAGTATACACACACACACACACAATCCCTAAAGAGATAACCATCCCAGTAGAGCCCAGCCATAAGCTAACAAAAAATATGAAAAACTAAGGCAATATGATGTCTTCAAAAATTTATAACTCAGTAGTTGAATTAAAAAATGCTGAAATGAATGAAATGACAAAAATTTGTCTTTTTTTTTGGGGGGGGGGTCTGGTCGTGGGGCCTGAACTCTGGGCCTGGGCGCTGTCCCTCAGCTCTTCAGCTGAAGGCTAGTGCTCTACCACTTGAGCCACAGTGCCACTTCCGGCTTTTTTCATTTTGCTTATGTAGTGCTGAGGAATCGAACCCAGGGCCTCATGCATGCAAGGCAAGCGCTCTACCACTGAGCCACCTTCCCTGCCCAAGAATTTGTCTTTTTAAAAGTGATCAATAACATCAAAGAGGGTTCAAATAACAAATCAATGAAGAAGTCAATTCAATGCCTGGGTGATAAATATAACTTAAGAAATCCAGCTGGATGCCAGTGGCTCATGCCTATAATCCTACCTACTCAGGAGGCTGAGATCTGAGGATCATGGTTCAAAGCCAGCCTGAGCAGGAAAGTTCATGAGACTCTTATCCTCAGTTAAACATAAAGAAACTGGAAACTAAATAGAAAACTTTCAATAGACTAAACCAGGTAGAAGAAGGAATATCAGTAATTGAAGATAAAATTGAGGAAAAAATACATTTAGATGGCAGTAATTTTTATTTTTTTAAGCAATTATAAAGTGGAGCTATGGCTCAAGTGGTAGAGCACTCACCTTGAACTGAAGAGCTGAGAGACAGCTCCCAGGCCCAGAGTTTAAGCCCCATTACCCCACTAAAGTAACTGATTGGTTCATTAGCCATCACCAGTGGCTCATTCCTATAATCCTAGCTACTCAGGAGGCCGAGATCTGAGTATCACGGTGCAAAGCCAGCCCAAGAAGGAAAATCCGTGAGACTCTTCTCTCCAATTAACCACTAGAAAAACTGGAAGTGGCACTGTGGCTCAAGTGGTAGAGCACTAGCCCTTGAGCCAAAGAGCTGAGGGGGACAGTGCCTAGGCCAGAGTTCAAGCCCATGACCAAAAAAAAAAAAAGGCAATTATGATCACAACATTCAAGACCTCTGAGAGATGACTAAGATACCCAACATTACAAGTAAGGATGTAAAAGGTGCAGTCAATAAACAGAGTAAATTCATAGAAAACTAAATGAAATTATAGCATAAAATTGTCCAGATCTTAGAAAATTCAAGTATCTGACACATTTAAAACTTCAAGTAGAGGGAGTGGTGCTGTAGCTTAAGTGACAGAGTGCTTTCCTTGAGCTTAGGGACAGCACCTAGGTCCAGAGTTCAAGCCCCACAACTGGCAAAAAAAAAAAAAAAAAAAAAAACTTCAAGTAGACTAAAACCAGTAACTTTTATATATAACAATGAAGAACATGCTAAGAAGGAAATCAGGCAAACAGCCCCATTCAGAGTAGCATCAAGCAAAAATAAATAAAATACCTAGGAATAAAGAGCAACTTTCTCAACCACTGTCTCTTCTCAGGAGTTCTAGCCACTCTTGGGAATTCCTAGGGAGCATACCAAGATACCTCAGAAGCTTGGAAATACTGTAATTCCAGAGTCTTCTACATGTCTCTATATACAAAGAAAATGAATATATAACTATCCATGGGGAATTCCTGGCAAGATGGAGGTTGAGTAACATCATCTGGCATTTTCCTTTGTCAGTCTGCTTTATAGAACTGCTAAAGAAGTTAATGCTGGTGACAAAGTACTTTACAGCCCATCAATATCTCACAAGCTTTCTCCCACAGCTATGGCTGAAAGTGGATCAGCATACCCTAGTGCTAATGCCAAGGCACAGAAACCTTTCACGGTGGTAGAGACACTGTAGACAGCCAGCCCACCCACACCAACTGCACCATAGAAACCTCTTCAAGACAAACATGAGCTCTGAGGTTTGACTGAGAACCACCACCAGCAACAGTTCCATCTAGGAAATCAAGTCTGGACAGAGCCCAGAAATGTCAGCCTCTGATACAGGAAAACACCTGTGCTGATGCAAAGAACAGTAACAGTTGTCAAGGACTAGGGAGACAGAAGATTCCACAATGTAAAAAGGAAGTGAGTAGGATTAGGTAGTTAAATGTCCATAGTCCAGAAAATTTCACTGGAGATATTCTTCAATCCCCACCCCACCATGCTGGGAAGCAGGCCCTAAGCTAGCCATTATCCTAGAGACAAGTCTCCAACTAGGCTGCCATCTATTGGACTTAGGGTTAACCAAAACAGCTGCATTGGAGAGCAGTTGAAAATGCTGATTTTTTAAAACTGTTTGCTATTTTTTATTTTATTTGTATTTTTTTGTACCAGTCCTGGGGCTTGAACTTAGGGCCTACGCACTGTCCTTTACCTTTTCTGTTCAAGGCTAGGGCTCTACCTCTTAAGCCACAGCTCCATTTCTGGCTTTTTTGTTAGTTAAATTGGAGATAAAATACTCACTGACTTTTCTTCCCCAACTGGCTTTGAACCACGATCCTCAGATCTCAGCCTCCTAAGTAGTTAGGATTATAGGCATGAGCCACTGGTGCCCACCCCCTTTTTTTTTTTTTTTTGCCAGTCCTGGTGCTTGAACTCAGGACCTGGGTACTGTCCTTGAGCCTCTTTGTGCTCAAGGTGAGCACTCTAGCACTTAAGCCATAGCACCACTTCCAGATTTTTCTGAGTAGTTTATTGGAGATAAGAGTCTCACGGATTTTTCTGCCCAGACTGACTTCGAACTGTGATCCTCAGATAACTTCCTGAGTAGCTAAGATACAGGTGTTTGCCACCAGTACCTGGTTCATTTTCTTTTTTTTCTTTTTATTTATTTTTAATTTTTTATTGTAAAGATACTATACAGAGGGTTACAGTTACATGAGTAAGGTAATGAGTACACTTCCTATTGAGCATTGTTACTCCCTCCATTGTTTTCCTCCTACCATCCCTTCCCTCCCTACCTTTCCCGAGGTTCTTTTTTTTTTTTTAATTGTGATTAAGTGATTACATAATTTCCCAAATTTCACAGTATTGTGGAATAATGATGCTCATTTAAAGTCACAAGTTCATTCTAACCATTTTCTTTTTAGTTTTGATCTTCCTCCCATTTCTTTAAAAAACTTGATTAAATCTTTTTTTGTTTTGTTTTATTTTTTTTGGGGTCCAGTCCTGGGGCCTGAACTCTGGGCCTGGGCGCTGTCCCTCAGCTCTTCAGCTCAAGGCTAGCGCTCTACCACTTGAGCTACAGTGCCACTTCCGGCTTTTTTCTTTTTTCTTATGTGGTGCTGAGGAATCGAACCCAGGGCCTTGAGCATGCAAGGCAAGCGCTCTACCACTGAGCCACCTTCCCAGCCCCTTGATTAAATCTTAAAGTATATCATCTCCTTTCTTCTGTCACCCATCACCATTTATAATTTCCTTCCATCTGCAATCAGAATATGAGCTTTTCACTCATTTTTTTTTATTGTGAAAATACTGTACAGAGGGGTTACAATTACATGGGCAAGATAATGAATACATTTCTTATCAAGCATTGTAGCCTCCTCTGTTTCCCCTTCCCATCCCTTCCCATCCTCCTCTCCCACCCCCCACCCAATCCTCCCCGCTTCCCCCCCCCCACCAAAATTGTAAAGTTCGTTTTCGACATAACGACTTGTACATCTCATTGTTGCAGTGGGTCCACCTGTATCCCTATTTAAACGATTTGTTTTTCCCCTTCCCCTCCACAAATTATACCGACATCAAATACAGTGAAAGCAGGGGTTATACTGTGGGGGAGGGACATACAAAGCAACAAAGAAATAATCTTATAAGTGTGTTAAAAACAATCGCATGAAAGAAAAAAACATTTGAATTCATATCTTAGGGTTCATTTCCCTAACATCACCTTATTTGATCTTTTCTGCTTGACTCAGACATAGATATTGCAAATAATCCTCAGAGAAAGAACTGCCCAATAAATAAGTGGGCTAAAGACTTAAAGAGAAACTTCTCTGAAGAGGAAAGAAGGATGGCCAATAGACACATGAAGAAATGCTCAACCTCCCTAGCCATAAAAGAAATGCAAATCAAAACTACATTGAGATACCACCTCACTCCAGTTAGAATGGCTAGAATCAAGAACTCTAAAAACAGTAGATGCTGGAGGGGCTGTGGACAGAAGGGAACCTTACTGCATTGATGGTGAGAGTGTAAACTTGTTCAACCACTTTGGAAAGTAGTATGGAGGTTCCTCAAAAGACTCCACATAGAGCTCCCCTATGACCCAGCAATTCCACTTTTGGGCATTTACCCTAAAGCTATAGCACGACTATGTTTATTGCAGCACTATTTACTATAGCTAAGATATGGAACCAACCCAGATACCCTCAGTAGATGAATGGATCAAGAAAATGTGGTATATATACACAATGGAATTCTATGCCTCCATCAGAAAGAATGACATTGCCCCATTTGTTAGGAAATGGAAAGGCTTGGAAAAAATTATATTAAGTGAAGTAAGCCAGGCCCAAAGAAACATAGGTCCCATGGTTTCACTCATATTTTGATCTCTTTCTTTTGCAATCCTTCTTTGTTACCTATACTTTTACTAGGTTATTAAATTCATAGGTCATCTTGTTTGTTTTCTCTTTCTCTTTCTTCCTTGATCTAATATTAGTTATTTTCTACCTATATCATTTCACTTTCTCATTAATCTTATCTATTAACCTTTGCCACTACTTCTTCATGCCTTAGGACATTAGGCACCTTATTTATTTACATCAGTCCCTGAATCTCCTTCCCACCAGCAGCATTACTAAGGAAGGGCAAATAATCATCTTGCTCCTATAGTTCTCTAAAGATACTAGTGCAATAGTAGTGAGTGGCATTTATTAGGGATTGTTGTGACTTCGGGACTGTTTCTGCAGCTATGCTTCCTTTTCCCATGGCGTCATGAGCCCTGTGCTTGCAAATATACATATACCACAACCCAGCCACTAGTCAGTCTTATTTAAACATTGTAAAGACAACAACTGAAAGCACCCAGAAGATTGAAATCTTAAAACAAAAACTTAGTCCTACATGTGTAAACCCCAACATAGAAATACATTGGTTTCCTTCAAAGCTAACCCTACAGTTAAAAAAAATTTTTTTTAACTAAGGAAATGCAGATGAAAACTGAAAGACTTCTGAGAAGCATCAAAACACCAAACCTACAAATAATAGATATAGCAGAAGGAAGAGAGTTACAAGTAGTTATTTAATAATAGCAACCTCCCTAATCCTGAAAAAGAAGGTCATCCCACTGCAGGAAATCTAGAATACTAACTGGGAAATAGCAGAGAATAAATACCCTAGTCATAGTTTATAGACCCAAGAAAGAGTATTAAAAGCTGTGAGAGAACTGAAAAATCACATCTAATAGCAAACCCATCAGAATCACAGCAGAATACTCAAAACAGAAATTGTAAAAGCAAAGAATGATATAGTCAAGGGTGTCTATTCAATATAGTGCTGGAGTTTATAGCCAGAGTAATAAGGCAAGAGAAAAAAAGTGAAAGAAACATAAACAGTAAAGGAAGAGAAAAAAGTGAGAGACACAAATAGTAAGGGAACAAATCAAATTATCCTTATTTATACATGATATAATGTATCCTTAAAATATTTCAAAGGCTTAAAAAAGCCCAAAGGCTCCACAAAAAAACTCCTAGATCTGGTGAACACTTGGCCAAGTAGCAGGTTATAAAATTCACATGCAGAAATCATTAGCTTTTCTATATACCAACAGTGAAGAAGCTGAGAAAGAAATCAGGCCTTTGTCTTTTATATGTTTATTTGGTTTGGGGAGGGAAGGGGAAGCTCAGAAATGATGGGATAAAAGGGTGGACCACTTCAGTAACACTCACTGGACCCTATGTTGTAAATGAGCTATACAATTTGGGGAGAAGGAGGGTTGAGAGGGGAAAAACTAGGGACAAAAATGAGGGAAGGGTGACACTGTTCAAAAAGAAATGTACTCATTACCTGACTTATGTAACTATAACCCCTCTGTACATCATTTTTACAACAAAAAATCAGAAAATAATTCCATTCACAATAGCCTCCAAAAGAAAATAGCTAGGAATAAGCTACCTACCATGTTTGAGATATTCTAGATATGCAGTAATTAAAAAATAAGACATGTCTGACTTTAACATGCATATATCCTAGATTGAAAAGACAGATCATAAACAACTATATATAATAAAAGATAGAAGGAAATGAGTACTAAATTAATAAGGAAAGTGGTAAAAAACAGTGCTAATAAAGATGATTAATTCTAGGTTTCAAATTCTAAAAGTAGAATCTTTTTTTATAGAAAAGAAGTAATTTGCTGCAGAGAAATAGGCTAAGCCAAGAACTAGAGTTGTTTACAGTGTATGTGAAGGAATGAAGTATAAAACATTTTTATTGTAACTACGGAATTTTTATTTTATTTTACTGTGAAGGAACCACATCCTCCTAGATTATCAGCAGAAGAAGCAATACAGAAGCAGACCAAGACAGACACATCAACTCTCAACCTATTTCAACATCTCCCTGAACTCAAGTCATTTTTTATAGAGGTAATATCCAACTTGATAATAGCAAAGAATTTTTCTCCTAAATTCAATGCACCTGAAAAGCTTATTTCATTCTTTAATGGATGGGAAGTATAGTATGAAAATGACAAAATATAATGATCTATTTGAAGTTTTAAAATTATTTCTACTGAAAGGTTTTGTTTGCTACTGAGTGGTAGTCTGAACTGTTCCTTTTGTCTTTCTTCTACTGCATGTTTTCCTGATGAAGAATGAGTAATTTGACCCAAAATACTTTATGTGACAATTGAGATAATATATAGAGGGAGTTAATACTTCAGTCCTTAATTATAATTTCTGTTCACCTATAAAACATGTCTCAATAAATTAGATTGTTAATAGTGTTAGAAGGATGATCAAGTAAAACGAGTAAGTAATACTGTAATTGAAAGAGCATCTTTCAATTTTAAAGGATTAAATGTTTAAATATACGTAGTAAAACATTATGAATAACTCAGACTAATTTTAAATGCATATTTACTTAGGGTTTTTTAATATGTGGTTATGCTGGTCCTATGGCCTGAACTCAGAGTCTAGATGCTGTCCCTGAGCTTTCCTGTTCAAGGCTAGTGCTTTACCACTTGTGCCACAGCTCCACTTTGGACTTTTCAGTAATTAATTGGAGATAAGAGTTTTACAGATTTTACTGTCTAGGCTGGCTCCCAACCATGATCCTTGGATCTCAGCCCCCTGAATAGCTAGAATTACAAGTGTCTGCCACTGGCACCTAGTTTGTACTTATGATTTTTGTTATGATATAATATTAACTCTTCTAAGAGACAAAATAAAAACAGTGAAGATAAAACCTTAAGTCAAGGTAGTACCACATGGCTTGTAGCAAGTATGGTATAGCTATGGTGGTACTTGCATTCACCACACACAGTATTGGATCCCTGAAGTTTGCATGAACAATTTGAACACTAGTTCAGTCTATTTAATATTTTTGGTTGGTTAATTATACTCATTATTTCTTTTGACTCATTTATTGGTGTCCTTTTAAGGCTTTCAATGCAGTGATTATACCATAGACTGCGAAGAAAACTACCCAAGTATGAGAATACCCTGATGTGATGAACACTGAATAGAAAAGGAGAGATTCACTCTTTCTGAGAGATAACTTGACACTTATAGTTCATGTCATGCCAAAGTGTTCTTTTCTCCATCTGAGTGACACATCCCTTGCCAGGTTTATAAAGTTTGGGTATCTACAGAGGCTAAATGGTGTGTCTTCAAGAAATATACAGAGTTTGGTAAACTATATTAACACTTAAACAATATCCTGCTATGGCCTGAAAACATTTGGTGATCATTTTGATACAGATTTTAATAAATAAAGTACAGATCTGAATTAATTCATTTACAACTTCATCAGGTATCTAGAGCTTTATACTCATCTAGATGTCAGAGCATTTCTTCAAATAGACAAACCAAAAACATCAGTTATATCCATAAGAAGGTGATAATAAAAGAAATACTCTGAAGAAGTAAGCTCCACTAGGAAAGTTATTATATAGTACAAGTTTAAATACATACTAATGTGATTCAGGAACAGATTTTCTATGTTGTTTGTCACATTTAATTCTCTACTCCCACCTATATAAGAAAGTTCATTGAATGGAAAATTTGCCAATTATCTGCACATTCACTAAAAAGCAAGCAGATTAGCCGGGCGCTGGTGGCTCACGCCTGTAATCCTAGCTGCTCAGGAGGCTGAGATCTGAGGATCGCGGTTCAAAGCCAGCCCGGGCAGGAAAGACCGTGAGACTCCTATCTCCAATAAACCACTAGAAAACCGGAAGTGGCGCTGTAGCTCAAGTGGTAGAGCGCTCGCCTTGAGCTGAAGAGCTGAGGGACAGCGCCCAGGCCCAGAGTTCAAGGCCCATGACCGACCAAAAAAAAAAAAAAAAAGCAAGCAGATTAAAATTACAACTTAGCTTGAATTTTATTGCCAGATTCAATAGAGCACTCATCGCTAAATGAAACTTTATTTATTTATTTTTTGGTTGTGTGTGCTCCGTTGCCTTGTTTTATTTTTTTTTGTTTGTTTGTTTGGTTGGTTTTTTTTGGTCTTTTGTAGCTTTATATGTCTTTTTTTTTTTTTTTCCCAGGGCTGAGGACTGAACCCAGGGCCTTGCACGTGCCAGGCGGGCGCCCTTCCGTTGGGCTAAACCTCCAGCCCCTTTATTTTTTTTATTATTTTATTTTTATTTATTTATTTTTTTGGTCAGTCATGGAGCTTGAGCTCTAGGCTTGGGCGCTATCCCTTAGCTCTTCAGCTCAAGGCGAGCCCTCTACTGCTTGAGCCACAGCACTACTTCCTGTTTTCTAGTTTATTGGAGGTAAGAGACTTATGGACCTTCCTTGCCCGGACTGGCTTTGAACCATGATCCTCAGATCTCAGCCTCCTGAGTAGCTAGGATGTGAGCCACCAGCGCCCAGCTGAAAGTTTATTCTTATGTTAAAATTATACAGCAAAGCAAATCTTTCAGTGAACCAGAATATACATGGTTTGTCATATACTAGACTGCTTTTATTTCATATATTTCTGTGTTGGGATTGAAAATTTGTTACATTCAGTTTTTTTTACATAAAAGTATTAGAAGCTGGGTGCTGGTGGCTCATGCTTTTGTAATTCTAGCTACTCAGGAGGCTGAGATTTGAGGATCATGGTTCAAAGCCAGCCTGGGCAGAGGAAAAGTCTGTGAGACTCAAATTAACCACCAGTAAATAGGTTGAGAAGCTGTGGCTTAAAGTGGTAGAGCACTAGCCTTGAGCAAAAAAGCTGAGACAGCAACTAAACCCTGAGTTCAAGCCCAAATACTGACAAAAAAAAAAAAAAAGATTAGGAAATACATTTAATTGTGATGTTAGCAAACTTGTTAACCACTTGAAGTTAACTGTCTAAAAATATTTTAAGTTTATTCTTAGCTTACCGACCACCTAGAAGACATCCTAGGGACAATATTTTAATTTTTATTAATTTACTTTGTTGTTATTATAGAGGTGATATACAGAGGGGTTACCTTTTCATATGTCAGGTAATAAGTACATTTGCTTTTATACAGTGTCATCTGTTCCAGGGGACTAAATTTATGCCATAAAATCCTATTTGAGTTATGTACAAGTAAATAGATCACATCTGTAATCCTAGATCTCAGGAGGCTGATCTAAGGATTATGGTTCAAAAACTAACCCAGGCAGAGAAGTCCTTGAGACTTTTATCCCCAATTAATGACCCAAAAGCTATAAATGGAGGTATGGCTTAAGTGGTAGGGCAGCAGGCTTGATTGGAAAAAGCAAAATGAGAGTTCAGGCCCTAGGTTAAAGCCCTAATACCAGCATACACACACAAACCCCCCACAATATCCTATTTTACCCATAATTTGATGAATATGCAATATTGTGTTTATGATAAAGCTATTTCCATGATGTCTATCATTTGTGACAGCATTTTTATATAATAGTTTATTCTGAGTTTTCTGCAGGTGTAGTGACAAATTTATTCTTTTCTGTATGTGTCAAGTCACCTGGTAGCTTTCCCTCAGAGCAGTATCTGGAGCAGGACAGAGAACACAGTAGGACAGAGAACACAGTAGATGCCTTTGGGTGCTAGTAGCTTGTAATTCCCTTTTCATCATCTAAGAAGCATTTTTTAATATGTTCGTGAAAAAGGAGGGCCCTCTGTAAATTGTCACTTCCTAGTGCTATGCTGAAGAATATGGAGGTAGTAGTAAAAGCAAGGGCCTAATAAATGGATTTTTTAAGATACTATTTAGCCTTGCTTAACTGAAAGTTATTCTTTTTCCCCTGGTACTGGGACTTTAGCTCAGTTAAGCTCTTGCTTAACTTAAGCGCACAGTTGGTGCTTTACCACTTTAGCTATGTCTCCAGTTGCTGGTTTATTAGAAGTAAGAATATCATGAATTTTTCTACTCAGATTGGCTTCAAACTGAAATTCTCAGATCTCAGCCTCCTGAGTAGCTAGGGCTATAAGAATTAGTTACTAGCATGACTGCAAACCATTTTTTATTTTTTATTTATTTATTTATTTTTGGGGGGGTCCAGTAATGGGGCCTGAACTCTGGGCCTGGGCGCTGTCCCTCAGCTCTTCAGCTCAAGTCTAGCGCTTTACCACTTGAGCCACAGCGCCACTTCTGGCTTTTTTCTTTTTGCTTATGTGGTGCTGAGGAATCGAACCCAGAGCCTCAGGCATGCAAGGCAAGCACTCTACCACTGAGCCACCTTCCCAGCCCCTGCAAACCCTAAAGATCAAATATAAACACTTACTATGAATTTATAAAGTAGAATTAATTTTTAAATTATTATGTAATTATAACTATATAATTATTGTTTTGCATTATAAAGTTCATAAAATAATACTTGGTACAGCATACATACCCAATGATAATAATTTTCTAATAAATGTTAGGTTCTCTTTTTGAACTATTGTCATATCAAGGAACTAAGTTCAAATTATGTTTCTATTTCACATTATAATAAGATGATGGTTGATATTTCTTGAATACTTTTTATTTTCTCCTAGTATTATTGTAACATTCAGGAAAGTACCTCAATTAATGAAATAGATTTATTTTTAAATGTTAAGCCTCAAAGATTTTTCCTATAAAGAATAACAAATTTTTCTATTAACTTGCTCAAGCCCTAACACAACACACACACACACACACGCACACGCACACGCACGTGCACGCATGCGACAGTGGCTAACGCCTATAATCCTAGCTACTGAGGAGGCTGAGATCTGAGGATCACGGTTCAAAGCCAGCCTGGGCAGAAAAGTCCTTGAGACTCTTATCTCCAATTAACCACCAGAAAACCGGAAGTGGTGCTGTGGCTCAAGTGGTAGAGTGCTTGCCTTGAGCTGAAGAGCTGAGGCCCAGAGTTCAAGCCCCACAACTGACAAAAAAAAAATAGGTGATGGTTTTCAGAAGGTTCTAGTATGCCATCTAAACATGGTTTATAGTTCCTTTCCTACATTTTAAGTTAAATGATTTGTATGTTTTGGTAGAATAAAAATACTATACCACAGCAATTTTATTGTTTAAATAATAAGAAAGTTTAAGCAATTTGTACCTAAAGAACCAATCATTTAATATCTTTTACTTTATAGGGCATTAGTGATGGTATTCCACTATTAAAGGCCATTGTCCCCAAAAATCAGTCTCGTTCTTTTATGTCTCAAGGCAGCCCTGAGTTACTGGTAAGTTGATTTATTCCTTTTTCATACTGTCATGTCTGTATCCATTATAACACATCAAAAAAAAGAATACCAGAAATGTTTATAGACCTTGATGAAGTACAAAATATTACTTGTTTTTATGGAACTTTTAAGTAGTTAATGTACTAAAATATATATGGAGGAAGGAATATATGAAAATCACCAAGACATTTTATACAAGGAAAATAGGGAAATAGGGGCTAACATCTTCTATTAAAATTTATTTTAAGGCTGAGTACTGTAGCTCATGCCCGTAACCCCAATTACTATGGAAGCAGAGATCTGAAGGATCACAATTCAAGGCCTACTCACACAAAAAAGTTGGCAAGATCTCATTTTCTCAATCAGTAAGGCAGGCATGGGCAGTTGTAGCCTGTGACTGCAGATATGCCTGAGGCCATAGGTAGTGGAGGATCATGGTGTGAGGCCTACCTAGGCAAAAATGTACACACCGTATCTGAAAAATAACTGCAAGCAAAATTAGATTAGGATGTGGCTCAAATGATAAAGCCAATGAATTTTGAGGCCCTGAATTCAAATCCCAATATTGCCAAAACATAAACTATTTTATCATTCTAATATTGATGATTAGAAATAACACAGAATTTGTTAAGGCACAAATCCAGGGCAGTTTACTGAGTATTTTTCATGGACTTTATAATATTAATACAACTAGCAGTCCTGTGAGATAGGCACTACTATTATTTCCTTTATATAGATAAGACATTGAAACATAAGAGAAATAACTTTCTTCAAACCATAGAGCTAGAGCCATGGCAAATGAACCAGTTATATTCTAATTTTGTCACAAAGTCCTAGTAAAACTGTAATATGTTATATGGTACAGTAAACAGAGATTCCAGAAAAAGATCTATTTTCTTTCTTTTTTTTTTTTTTTTTTTTTGATCTAGTCGTGGGTCCTAAACTCTGGGCCTGGGCACTGTCCCTCAGCTCTTTAGCTCAAGGCTAGCGCTCTACCACTTGAGCCACAGCGTCACTTCCAGCTTTTTTCTTTTTGCTTATGTGGTACTAGGAATCAAACCCAGGGCCTCAGGCATGCAAGGCAAGCGCTCTACCACTGAGCCACCTTCCCAGTCCCAAAAGGTCTATAATGTATTTTCTTAGAAAAATTCCTAGATAGAAGAAATTATAATAGGAGGTTTCCGGTGTTGGAATGCTTATGATTTTTAATTTTAATACCTGTATTATTTTAAGTTACCTGAATTAAGGAGTGGGTGACTAAACTGTTACTTTTAAAAAAATTTTTTGGCCAGTCCTGGGGCTTGAACTCAGGGCCTGGGCACTGTTCCTGAGCCTCTCTGTGGTCAAGGCTAGCCACAGCTCCACTTCTGGCTTTTTCTGTGGTACTGAGCATTTGAACCTAGCGCTTCATGCATGCTGGGCTCCTTAAGCACTCTACCACTGAGCCACATTCCCAGTCTCCTGAGCTGTTACTTTTTATAATAAAGGCAGTAAAAAGCTCTTTCACCCAGCCTGGGTGGCTCATACTTGTTATCTTGAGAGCTGAGGATCAGGGTTGGAAGCCAGAATGGGAGAAAAATCTGTTGGACTCTATCTCCAGTTAACCACCAAAAAGCTAGAAATGGTATGTGGCTTAAGTGATAGAAGACCAGCCTTGAGCAAAGAAGTTAAGTGTGTATGTGTGTGTGTGTGTGTGTGTGTGTGTGTGTGAGAGAGAGAGAGAGAGAAAGTGAGAGAGAAAGTGAGAGAGAGAGCGAGAGCACGCAAGACCCAGAGTTTAAAACACAATAAATAAATAAGATTAATTTTTATTTTCAAAAGAAAATATGACAGTGACTTCATGGAGACCTTCACAATTCATCATAAATTTCTACTGACCTAAGTTCTGAATGTTTATGTCATATTTCTATGGAAAGAATTGACATTGAATTTCCTGTGACTACCAAGTAATTGATACTAATAAACTTTGAGAAATTGTGAGGAAAATTTTGTTACCATAAGAAGACCCTTTTTTCTTTACAATAAGATAAAACTTTTTCTATTTGAGTTGTTCTTTGATTTAATGAATTTCATATGTAAACTACATTGCCTCATAGCATACCCAAATGATAGATGCCAACATCCTGTGAGCATTGGGTTATTCTTTACTGCCTTAATCTTTTAATCTTTCATTTAAGGCTAATATTATTTTTCAGGTAACAGTGAGTATGAATTATGTTATTGGAACCCATGGATGGCTGCCTTATGATAGAAACATTTCTAATTATTTTACATTCATCAAGGATCAAACAGTGACAAATCCAAAGTAAGTAAGTGAACATTTAAGACAAAACAGCTACAAGAAGTACCTATTACCAGGAAAAATAACTATACCGGTGATTTTCTTTTTGTTTTGTTGTTGTTGTTGTTGTTGTTGGTCATGGGGTTGAATTCAGGGATTGGGTACTGTCTCTGAGCTTTTGTGCTCAAGGTTAGCACTCAACCAATTTGAGCCACAGCATCACTTCCAGTTGTTTAGTGGCTAATTGGAGATAAGAGTCTCATGAACTTTCCTGCCCTGGCTGGCTTTGAACTATGATCTTTAGCTCTCAGCCTCCTGAGTAACTAAGATTATAGTATTTGGCACCTGACCTATGTTTTGTTTTGTCTTTTGAAGGAGGTGTAGTACTTTTGGGGTTTGACTTTATGCTTGCTAGACAGGCACTCTACTACTTGAGCCACAACCCCATCTTATTTGACATTTTGTTTTTATCTTTCAAGTAAGGTTCACATTTTTGCCTAGACAGCCTTAGACTACAGACCTCCTACCAGTGACCTCCTACATATCTGGGATTACAAACCATTGCTATACCTGGCTTGTTCATAGAGATAGGGATGTCAAATAATTTTTTTGCCTAGACTTGATCTGTGATCCTTCCATTCTCTGCTTTCCAAATAGCTAAAATTATAGGCATGAGTCACTATGCCCAGCCATTTCTATAATTTTCATAGTAATATATGAAGACCCAGCTTTTTTCTTATTTCTTCTGTCTTTCCTCAGCCTATTCTTTTTAAGTTACATTCTCACTTGATATTGGTTTAGATACAAGACTAAATTTCTATAATTGCAGTTATGGAAGCAAAAATTATATCAGGAAAAGTAAATGTTATTGTATTCTGCTTTGCTACTTACAAATAAGTCCTATATGTTTTAGTAATAAGAATTTAGTGCTTATCTTAATTATTTTTAAATTTTTTAGTGGGATAAATTAATTGTCCAAAGGGTTTTATTGTGATTTATATATCTATATGCATAGTGTACTTTGATCAAATTCACCTTATCTTTTTTTACATTGCTCTAACATTCATTATACTATTTTCATACATACATAATGTACTTTTGATTATATATAGAGATATATAATGGACTTCAATCATATATATGTATTTTTTTTGAGGGGTTGCTGGTTCTGGTGCTTGAACTCAGAGCCTGGGCCTTTTACCTGTTCTTTTTTACTCAAGGCTAGTATTCTACCACTTGAACCACAGCTTGTTTCCAGTTTTTTGGTGGTTAATTGAAGAGAAGTCTCACAGACTTTCCTGTCCAGGCTGGCTTTGAACCACAATCCTTAGATCTCAGCCTCTTGAGTAACTAGAACTATAGGTGTGAGCTACTGGCACCTGGCTTCATGTATACTTTTTAATCTCTAAAGGTTACAATCTAACTTTTAGTGATCTTACAGTGATGCTTCTCTTATTCTAAATTGTCCTTGCTGTGTGCTAGCTAACTTAAATCATATTCAGTATTGTTTTAAAGATCACATTGCATCATATATTTGAAAATTATTTACAGTGATATAATTGTTACCATTTCTTTCTTTGTCATCTGAAACAAAACTCCAGAAATTAGAGGAAAAGGTCCTTTTCCTACTATCTTTGTAGAAGTCAGTATTCTTATGTTTTGCATAAATGATATTTCCAGCAAGTTAATATTGAATAGTGAAGTTTTAGAGCTAAAGGATCACAATTAGCCCTTATTTTCTTTTTTTTAAAATGGCTGATTCTACTTTTTTTAATTTTTATTTATTTTTTATTGTGAAAATACTGTACAGAGGGGTTACAATTACATGGGCAAGATAATGAGTACATTTCTTATCAAGCATTGTAGCCTCCTCCTTTGTTTCTCCTTCCCATCCCTTCCTATCCACCCCCCCCCCCGCTCCCCCACCCAGTCCTCCCTGCCTCCCCCCACCAAAGTTGTAAAGTTCGTTTTTGACATAACAACTTGTACCCTTATTTAAACGACTTGTTTTTCCCCTTCTCCTCCACAAATTATACCGACATCAAATACAGTGAAAGCAGGGGTTATACTGTGGGGGAGGGACATACAAAGCAACAAAGAAATAATCTTATAAATGCGTTAGAAACAATCGCATGAAATAAAAAAAAAACATTTGAATACATATCTTAGGGTTCATTTCCCTAACATCACCTTAGTTGACCTTTTCTGCTTGACTCAGACATATACTAAATATTACAAATAAGGGAAACCATGGGACCAATGTTTCTTTGGGCTTGGCTTACTTCACTTAATATAATTTTTTCCAAGTCTTTCTTTACACATTGAAATGTAATCACTTCTGTTTTTCTAAAGAACCTAGATTATCTAAGTTCATAGGTATTTCATTGGACACAAATAACCCATAGACTTATTGTGGTTGGAATGGAAAACAGTAATTGGAAGACTATTTTAATCTAACTTGTCTTGTATAGGAGGTCACTAGTTTTAGATCATTTTTTATTTTTCTGGTCCTATTATATTCTATACTGGCTTTATACTTAGAAGTTGCCATGTATAGAATTGCAGAATAATTGAATTGCAGAAATTTATTTGTTTTTACCAATCCCAACTTCTTTACACTTAAGACTATACGGGGGAGGTGGGCCCAAGGGGGGAGGGAGAATGGGAAGGGATGGGAAGGGGAAACAAAAAGAGGAGACAACAATGCTTGATAAGAAATGTACTCATTACCTTGCCCATGTAATTGTAACCCCTCTGTACGGTATTTTCACAATAAAAAAAAAAAAAGAATGAGGAGGAGAGAAAGAAGCCTATAAAACAGTAAATGACAGTAAACATGATCAGAGAACTATATATGCATTCAGGACAATATCCTGAAACACTTTAATTGGAATAAATTAAATAAATATAAAAATGATGCTTTCACAAACAAAAAAAAGACTACACACACATATATTATGAATAATATAAAGGTAGTAAGATAAATTTATTTCAAATAGAACTTTGGATTCTTTTCTTTATTATTTTTAGGGATTTAAAAAAACTTTTTATCAGTGTAAGTGATCTTCCTAGGCAATGTCTTAATATTTAATTGTATTTACAGAACTCAACGTAGTATGAATGGTCCTTTCGCTCCAGGGCTGGAGATTACCTCCAAGCTGTTTGTGGTTTCACATGATGCAAAGTTGCTCTTCAGTGCTGGACACTGGGATAATAGCATTCAAGTGATGTCACTTACAAGAGGCAAAATTATCTCACACAACATCAGACATATGGGTAAGCATTAACTTTTGCAAAATACTTTTTTCTGATTTTTTAATTTATATAACTATATGATTATAGTTACATATTATTTGTCCCCTAAAAGACTGTATAATATTTTGGCACTATGTAAATTAAATATACCTTCATAGTGTATGGTAGATATTAGATGAAATCTTTTTTTTAATTGGCTGATGTGGCCTGAGACTATAGCATAATGGTAGAGTGCTTGCCAAGCATCCATAAAGCCCTGGGTTTAATTCCTGGTACCATATTAAAAAATAAATAAAATTAAGTTTTAGAAAGTTGATGCTAGAAATAAGGATTTTAGGACAAAATAATGTCATCATTAAGTAATAATCAACTGCCCTATTATGTATTAAACGTTAAAGCATGAAATATTAAAACTGCTGATATAGTTTAACTTGGATATCTTGTGGAATAAAACATTGAGTTAGGGTGAGTTTTTCTGTTGTTTTTTTTTTGTATGTTGTGGGGCTTGAATTTAGGACCTGGGTGCTGTCTCTGAGTTCTTTTGCTCAAGGCTAGTGCTCTATCACTTTGAGCCACAGTGCCACTTTCAGTCTTCTGGTAGTTAATTGGAGATAAGAGTCTTACAGTCTTTTCAACCTGGACTGCAATCCTCAGGTCTGAGCCTCCTGAGTAGCTAGAATTATTGGATGAGCCAGAGGGTTGGTTTTTTTTTTTTTTTTCCCTCCAATAAACCTATTAGAGAACAAATACAGAGTTTACTCCTAATTCTATACCATTGGTTCCTAAGATGTCAATTAACTTAGTTACTTACAGTTCAGGAAAAAAAAAATTATGTTGTGAATTTACAGAATAATAATATACACTGTTTCATAAGAGTACATATCCTATAGGATTGTAATATCTAATGTGAGGAGAAGGTGACTAACATGAGGGAGCAGAGAAATGTATCAAAATTACCTTCCCCAAAGATTCTAATATTCATTCTACATACCCCATTTCCATATCTCACTCTCAAAAAGAATTGTCTCAAAAAAAACTCTGCTAGGTGCTTTCAATTCTATTTCTTGCCTTTATCATTCCCTACAATGTTTTCCCAATGCCATTCCTATTAGAATACTCGTTTAATAACAGTTTGAAAATAAACAAAATTGTCCTTGAAGTTTTGTTGCAGCAAAATCAAGCCATTTTGTTTCATTTTATTCCTTTTTCTTATAGATATTGTGACTTGCTTAGCTACAGATCACTGTGGAATACATTTGATTTCCGGTTCCAGAGATACTACATGTATGATATGGCAAATAATAAATCAGGTAGTCACTCATTTAAATGTTCTTAGGCTCACTATGAGAAAACAAGGATGACTTTTAAAAGGGTAATTAATTTTTCCCTGGCTGTGAATGACTTTTTGAGCTCCTTTACATTGTTTTATCAGTATTTTGTCCTATCTTGATCAACACAGGCTATTTCTAGGTTTATTTTCTGATTCATTTCCTTATACTTCATTACTTTCCAAAATTTACTCCTTTTCAAATTCTCCTAAGAAAATAGTAACTTTTCTTCTTCTTCTTCTTTTTTTTTTTTTTTTTTTGGGGGGGGGTCCGGTCGTGGGGCCTGAACTCTGGGCCTGGGCGCTGCCCCTCAGCTCTTCAGCTCAAGGCTAGCGCCCTACCACTTGAGCCACAGCACCACTTCCGGCTTTTTTCTTTTTTCTTATGTGGTGCTGAGGAATCGAACCCAGGGCCTCAGGCATGCAAGGCAAGCGCTCTACCACTGAGCCAACTTCCCAGCCCAGTAACTTTTCTTCTTATAGAATAATATTCCTATGGTTCTTTCTGGTGATACTAGTAGAAATTACAAATTTATAATTCCTATCAACCTTTTATTGCCTTTTTATAATATTCGTTCATAATGAGACATTTGAAATGTCTTCTATGTTTCTACCTTGCTTTAATAGACTATCTCACCCAGGATGTATAGTTTTCTTCTGACTTTAAAGTAGTTTTTATTTTACAATGCTTAGTTATTTTTATTATATATATACATACATATATTTATATACATATACATATTTTTGTTGCTGTTGTTGTTGTTGATTGTGGGGGTTTAGGGGTGCTGTCCCTCAGCTCTTCAGCTCAAGGCTAGCGCTTTACTGTTGAGCCAAAGTGCCACTTCCGGCTTTTTCTGCTTATGTGGTGCTGAGGAATTGAACCCAGGGCCTCATGCATTCAAGGCAAGCACTCTACCATTGAGCCACCTTCCCAGCCCTATTATATATTTTTAAAACTTTTTATTTCTGAATAGAAAGCAAACCACCTTATCCTATGAACTAGATCTTTTTTCTAGACTCCATTCTTTTACATTTACTTCCTTTTCTATGAATTATCAGTGTTTTCATTTTAGCATCTTAGTATTTGGTTAGATAAATTCCTACCTCACTGTGTTTCTTTTCCTTAAGCTTATCTCAGCTATTCTCATATGAATAGTTATTTTTCCTCATGACCCTTAAAAATATTTTAGCCAAATCCTCCTTAATAAAACAAACTTAATGTTTCCCTTACTAAAATCATATTTAACTAGGTATGGTAGCACATTCCTGTAACCTTAGCACTTGCGAAACTGAGGCCAGCATGGGCTACATAGTAAGATCCTGTCTCAAAATGAACAAAAGAAATTATTTAATTTTTATTCATTTATAATGGCATTATTATTCCTATCCAAAAATACAGAATGCATTCTCATAATCGTTAGTTCTTTTGAGAAAAAGAAAAAATAATTGGTAGTACTGGGCTTAGCTATTTTTATTTATTTACCTTTGCAGTACTAGACTTTCCACTCAGTTACTGTGCTTGCTAGGCTGGCCCTTTACCAGCCTACACTTCCGTGTTATCATACTTGTATTCCTATTTTAATTTTTAAAATCATTTCATTTCCAAAAAAAAAATAATAAAATAAAATAAAATCATTTCATTTCCAATTATTATTACTATAAAAGAAAGAAGTATTGTGATTTGTTTGATTTCTTTATAGTTCTCTTACATTGAGTCACTTTCCATAAAACTCCCTATCCACCTTATTAGTATTTTATATATTTTATGGGTAACAATCATTTGGTCTGAAAGTAAAGATGACTTTGTGTTTTCTAGTATATATATTTTTTCTTATCCTGATTTATTATTGACTAATATAATAAGGTAAGAAAATGTCCGACATCTGATTTGATGAAAATGACCACTATTTTGTCATGGAGTCATATTTGCTATTGCTTTTCATCAGTGTTTCACATTTAGGTAGTTATTTTCCTTTTCCCTATTTTCTTTTAGTAACTTTTTCATTTTAATAAAATTTCAAACTTATACTATTGCAAAAATAGTACTTTTTGGGCTATTTGACTTAACATTGTCTAAGTATCTCCCTCCAACATTGTTTTCTTTCATCTGTTGAAAAGTTGGAGTTACGTTCCTATACTCCCAAACCATTCCATGTATATGTATTAAGATCAAAGACATTCTAGTATATAGCCAAATTACCAAACTCAGAGTGTTTAATGTTAATATAATGTTACAATCTTATCTACAGTTTATGGTCTGATTTTGTCAGTATTACCAGCAATGCCATCTGCAGTCTCATTTATTTGAGTTTGTGTGTGTGTGTGTGTGTGTGTGTGTGTATTTGGAAGCAATCAAAACATTTTCTAGGCTTGAACCATACTTGGATTCCTATAATAAAACCATCTGTTGTATGTAGTGTTATTACTATTACACTTTGGTAGTGTGTTTTACTAGTACTTTAATTTTTTCTCTATTCCTTTATGAAATAGATCAGTTTTTGTCTGTTTTTGTCATGCTTCATCTTGAGATACTGTAAACCATTTTTAATATTGTAATTACTTGCAATATTACTTTGTTATTAGAATGTTTAAGCGCAGTTTAAACCTTCTTATAAGAATAAAAAGAACAGCAAGAAACCCCTTTTTCTTTTTCTTTTCAATATTAGGGAGGCACTCCTGTGGGCTTAACATCTAAACCTCTTCAGGTTTTATATGGACACACTGATGAAGTATTGAGTGTGGGCATCAGCACAGAACTAGACATGGCAGTGTCAGGATCAAGGGTAAGATTTCACTTTTGGAAACATTAATTACTTTTTCCATAAATTTAGTAACAAGGTTTATATCTAAATATTTGCCTTGGAGAAATGGGAAAATAAATTTTATTGCATATTCATTTTAGACATATGCAAAAGGGGAGTAATACCAAAAAAAACCTTATAGAGTCAAACTTTGGGAATTTTATTGGTTTTACTAGTTAAAGGAATAGGTAGTCTATAAATTAAAACATGGTTTGAAGTTTCAAGATTTGTGGAGTTTTTTCCCTCCTAAGGTTTTAATGTCTTTAGTACAATAGTCATTTTCTCATTTTCTCCATTTCTTTGCTACTTTTTTTTCATTTTTCTTTTGTTTATTTATTTATTCTTTTTTTGTGAAAATACTGTACAGAGGGGTTACAATTACTTGGGCAAGATAATGAGTACATTTCTTATCAAGCATTGTAGCCTCCTCCTTTGTTTCCCCTTCCCATCCTCCCGCCTGTACCCCCTCTTCCCCACCCCGCACCAAAGTTGTAAAGTTTGTTTTCTCGACATAACGACTTGTACATCTCATTGTTGCAATGGGTCCACCTGTATTTTGCTACTTTTTAAAATCCTACCATTTTCTCTTTTTTGTTTTTAATTTCCCAAATTTTCTGTGTATAGGATGGCACTGTGATTATACATACCATTCAGAAAGGTCAGTACATGAGGACTTTACGACCACCTTGTGAGAGTTCCCTAATCCTGACCATTCCCAATTTGGCTTTATCTTGGGAAGGACATATCATTATCTACTCCAGCATTGAAGAAAAGACCACCCTTAAGGTATAACACTGGAATACAGTAGGTGTAGACAATCAATAGCATGGCTTTCCCTCCGCACATTTTATATGAGGCAGGTTGAGTAAGGAAGGCATAGTTTAAAAGAGGTGCTTTTACCTTTCATCATTCAGTTATTAATTTCTTACTATTACATAGAGCTCTACCATAATCTTTTCCTCTTATTTGTATTTTATTTTAACCTTTTCTATTGCCTATATAATATATGACTTAAATAATTTCTGGGAAGTGGCGCTATGGCTCAAGTGGTAGAGCACTAGCCTTGAGCTGAAGAGCTGAGGGATAGCACCCAGGCCCAGAGTTCAAGTCACATGACCAACAACAAAAAATAATAATAATTTCTGATTTTTATAGAACTTGATAAGCTTAAATGGAAATGATAGCTAACATTAATTCTTTTTGTACAGGCAAGATATAAATAAATAAGCCCTGAAGTTGCTAAGTTTATTTCCTTTCAGTAATAAAATTTCGTGTGTGTGTGTGTGTGTGTGTGTGTGTGTGTGTGTGTGTGTGTGTGTGTGTGTGTGTGTGTGTGTGTGTGTGTGTGTGTGTGTGTGTGTGTGTGTGTGTGTGTGTGTGTGTGTGTGTGTGTGTGTGTGTGTGTGTGTGTCCTGGGGTTGAACTCAGCCTGAATACTGTCTCTGAGCTTTTTTGCTCATGGTTCTACCACTGAGCCACTGCCCACTCTTGGTTTTTTGGTGGTTAGTTGAAGGTAAGAGTCCCACAGACTTTCCTGCCTGACCTGGCTTTGAATAGTGATTCTCAGATTTCAGCTTTCTGAGTTGTTAGGATTATAGGCATGAGCCGCTAGTACCTGGCAATCTTTTTAAGAGTGTAAAATATGGTGCTGGCGGCTCATGCTTCTAATCTTAGCTAATGAAGAGGTTGAGATATGAGGATCTCAGCTTAAAGCCAGCTCTAGCATTGAAGTCTGTGAAACTCTTATCTCCAGTTAACCAGCAAAAAGCCAGAAGTGGATATTTGTCTCAAATGGTAAAGCATTTTTGGACTAAAGCTTTGAGTTTAATTCTTTGAGGGGTGAAATTTATCTTGAAAGTATGGTTTAAAATTGCTTTTACATTGTCTATACATTTTCTCTTTAAATACAGCCATATTTTTATTCCTAAGTTTTAATCATTTTGTTGTAGTCATAGCTTTAACTAACAACATAAAAACTTAGCCTTTGAGATTCTTACATTTTCTTTACAATTCTTTTCAGGATAAAAATGCACTGCACTTGTTTTCTATAAATGGCAAGTATTTAGGGTCTCAAGTCCTGAAAGAACAGATATCAGATATATGTATAATTGGAGAACACATTGTCACAGGCAGCTTACAAGGGCTCTTGTCTATAAGAGATCTCTACAGGTAAGTAATAAAAATGATTGAAGTATCACTTGAAAAAAAAAAGTAGCAACATTTACATCCTAGAATGGAAATGAGTGGCCTAAATTAGGTTTTATCTTTTATTGTAAATATTGCCTCTTTTCACAATTATGAAAAAAATAAGTAAAGAAAGAAGCCTCACAAACCTTAATTACGGGTTTTAAATTTGTCCAAATTATGGTTTGAATTTTTATGAACTAAAGGGTTTTTTAACTATGGTGAGACCAACTAAAATATTTTAAGTTAACCCATTTGTATAGGTAGTGAAAATGTGTGTAAAACTAGTATGGAAATCATCTGTTTTAACCTAGTGAAGGCTCGGGATTGTTGGTGGATATGTTGGTGGATATGTTGGTCCACTTTATATTTACTAATAAACAGAAAACTGTTAGCCCATATGTGCCCCCCAAATACATTCATTTCCTTTTCTTCTTAAATAAATTATTGTCATTTATTTATATACCTAAAAATATCTTGCTGTCCTCCCCAGTCTTGTAAATTTTTTCCCTGATCCATATGGTCTATTCCATCTTATTATTACATTTACTTCTATACCAAAATCTCCTATTTTGATATTTTCTTTTTTTCTTAATATTTTTTTGTTCTGTGGTAGAGTATTTAAATTGTATCTTTTTTTTGGGGGGGGGGTCGGTCTTGGGGCCTGAACTCTGCGCCTGGGCACTGTCCCTCAGCTCTTCAGCTCAAGGCTAGCACTCTACCACTTGAGCCACAGCGCCACTTCCGGCTTTTTTCTTTTTGCTTATGTGGTGCTGAGGAATCGAACCCAGGGCCTCAGGCATGCAAGGCAAGCGCTCTACCACTGAGCCACCTTCCCAACCCCTTAAATTGTATCTTTTTAAAATAATTTTACAACCCTGGTTTTAGATTAATAGGTCAGATTGGAAAAGTTAATATAATCTTTTAGCAGTTTAGAATATAGTATTTCTATTTCACAGGATTCTTCATTTTTCTTGTTAAATAAGCACAGCCATTTATCATAATGGAATATATGATAATATTGGATCATTATAACTAAACCAATTTTATTGACTATCTTAAACATTGAGTACACATGCACTTTTTTAACTAAATGGCCTTCTTATATTTTTACTTATTAATCAACAAGGTAAAAAGCATTAAATTTAAAAATTAAATTATCAAGGTGACTATCATCAAAATACTTTATGCATATGTATGAAAATGAAACAATGAAGCCTGTTGAGGTTGATTTGGAAAATGAGGTGGAGGATAAGTGACAGAATGGTTGAGTTTGACCAAGGTACATTGCGTGTATTTGTGGACATGTCAAAGTGAAACCCCCTTGAACAACTAATTATCTTTGAGAAATAAAATTGAAATTACGTATTTTTAGTTAAAAGGGTAGGTTTTTAAAATATATATTTATTTATTTATTTTGGGGGGGTTGGTCATGGGGTTTGAACTCTGAGCCTGGGTGCTGTCCCTCAGCTCTTTAGCTCAAGGTGAGTGCTCTACCACTTGAGCCACAGCGCCACTTCTGCTTTTCTGGTGGTTTACTGGAGATAAGAGTCCCACAAACTTTCCTGCCCAGGCTGGCTTTGAACTGCGATCCTCAGATCTCAGCCTCCTGAGTAATCCATCAGCACCTGGCTAATATATATTTTTTATTGTAAAGATCCTATACAGAGGGGTTACAGTTACATGAATAAGGTAATAAGTACATTTCCTATCGAGCATTGTTACCCCTCCTTTGTTTTTCCCCTGCCGTCCCTTCCCTCCTAGGACAGAAGTTTTAAAGACAGTGGATTACTAGGGATCAGAATAGTCAAGAATCTCGATAAGACGGTGGGAATAGAAATAGAGATGGAGAGCTGTCTTTTAGAAGTGAAAATAGGCCAGGCATAAGAAATAATACCACAAGCCATGGTGACTTGGGAGGCTGAGGCAGAAGGATTATCATAGGAGGACTACATAGAGTGTTCCAAAGTAGGCTGTGCTACATACCAAAACCCTACCTAAAAAATACAAACACAAAGAAAAGACAGAGAGGAAGGAAGAAGGGGAGAAGAGAAGGAAGGAAAAGAGGGAGGGAATAAGAAGAGGGAAGGAGAGAGGGAGTATTATGGGTGCTGTTATAATACAAGCTAGAACAAAATGCCCACTGAGAATCTGATGGTCAGAGAATGAGGGCTGGTGCAATAGTTTTATTTCCACCTGTTTTAGGGAGAACTATAAAAACAAGAATCTGATTACTATCTGCATGGAATCACAGCTGGTTTTTTTTTTACTTCCTTTGTCTGATGTTTTCCCTAATCTCACAGAAGACTTTTGTCAGCAGAAAAGATATTTCCTCAGATAGATGATGAATCAGAAAGAGAGTTTGCAATAATAAAATAGATTAGAAAATTGAAGAGAAAAAGTACAATTATCAGAAGGAAAATAATTTTTATATATTTGGATGGTGGTTTATTAATATTTGAACCTGAATTCCACATCTGTAAAACTGGAATGCAGTACAAGATGATCACAAAGTTAACTTTCAGGTAAAGAATTCCGTGAGTCCATTATGTATGTATGTAATTATGTCTGTGTTTTTTATTTCTCTTCTAGCTTGACTCTGAGTGTCACTCCATTAGCCATGAGATTGCCTATCCACTGTGTTTGTGTGACCAAAGAATACAGCCATATTCTTGTAGGTTTAGAAGATGGAAAATTGATTGTAGTGGGTGTTGGCAAGCCAGCTGAGGTAAAACCTAGTATTCTAGATGTCATTTCCAGTACTATTGGGGATTCCCTTGGTTCTCCATTTCATTTATCTCAGAGGTCTCCATTATGGATGAACAAGTTAAAAAGCAAATTTAACTTTTCAACAGGCAGTAAATGAAAACAGAGGATAAAGTTGTTTTTATTAGGATATAATTGAAGGCATACATTTGGAAGTTTTTGTATACCACTTGGTATGAATGAGAAAATACTTGTATTCCCTATCTACATTGAAGATCAATAAATAGAATTTTTGTATATAAAAGCCTTTATAAATAGAATCTTTGTATATAAAAGTCTTTATAAAATAAGAAATATAGGTTCAAACAATAAAAGTACTTAACTTGTTTTATCAAATATGTAGCATTACTATATGTCTTTCTATAAAAAACATTTTTATCTAGAACTATAGATACCTCCATATCAATGAGCCACTTCTTAGTGAGTTTACTATAACTGTAAATTTACTTATGATTGGTTCATCAATTACTGAATATCCAGATGTCATAAATCTAATTCTTGTTCCTGAGAAACTTACTGACTAAATTTCAAGAAACTTAGTGGTTCTCTCGAGATTTATTACATAGACTTAAATTAATCATTATAAATTTTTTGGAGTTACATTGGCTCTTTCTGAGAAATCTCACTATGGCATCTGTATAGGTTCTTGAAGAGCAGAAATTACTATCACATTGTGAGTGGTTATAAAGCAGAAAGACTCTGAATATTTTTTGTTTTATAAAAATTTAAGATTTTTATTAGATAAGATTTTTAAGTTGTTTTACTTTTATTATTGTTGTTAAACAGTACTGGTGATTGAACCCAGAGCCTTGAGACTGATAGGCAAATGCTTTACCACTTGAGCCACACACCCCAGCCCTTTGCTTTTAGTTTGTTTTCAGATAGAGTTGTAAACTAATTATGCTCAGTCTATCTCTGAAACAAGATCCTCCTGTTTCTGCCTCCTGAATAGCTGGGACCATAGGCTTGTTTTGTGATAGTATCTGGCTAACTTTTGCCCAGGTACCTTGACCCACAGTCCTCTTGTCTCCACTTTCTGGAATTACAGGTAGATATACACTATTACACCTAGACCTTTATATCATTTTTTTCAGGATATTTTTTAATTAAAATGACTGCAACATTTAGTTTCAGATGTGACCCTCCTAAATTATGTGAGCAACTCTGTATTTCAGTATTTCAAGTATATTTAAAATATTTTAGCCAGTCACTGGTGGCTCATAACATTAATCCTAGCTACTCAGGAGGCTGAGTTCTGAGGATTGCAGTTCAAAGTCAGTCCAAGCAGGAAGTCCACAAGACTTTTATCTCCAATTAACCACACACACACTCAGGTAGGTAGGTAGGTAGATAGCTAGGTAGGTAGGTAGATAGATAGATAGATAGATAGATAGATAGATAGATAGATAGATAGATAGATAGATAGATAGATAGATAGATACCAGGTTTCTACTTAATACTGATAATATATTTTCTTTTCTTTTCTTTTTTTTTTTTGCCAGTCCTGGAAATTGAACTCAGGGCCTGGGCATTGAGCTTCTTTTGCTCAAGCTAGTACTCTACCACTTGAATCACAGCACCACTTCAGGCTTATTCTGTTCATGTGGTACTGAGGAATCAAACCCAGGGCTTCATGCATGCTAGGCAAGCATTCTACCACTAAGCCACATCCCCAGCCCCCTCTTAATACATTTTCTGAATCATGCTCAATTGAGTGCCATTCCAATCATGCTCACAATTTGAGTTCCATTGGATTGAACTTGTAATCCTAGCTAGTGAAAAAGCTAAGGCACAGCTCCTAGACCCTGAATTCAAGCCCCAGTACCAGAACACATAAAAAAGATCTTACATTACTTTCTTTTCATCAGTGAGTATTTTATTCCTCCTTATTATTAGGTGTAACATGATTAGTACTACAGAACCAGATAAGAAAGTCTTTAAAACTAAGTATTGTTTGAGAAGCTTATTTTAATTATATGCATTTTTGTTAAGTCAGTTTTGACATCACTGGAGTACTTCATTTTTAAATTTACAAATTGACATTAGATCTTCCTCAACTAAAAGATAAAAATCAGAAGACTTTATTAATCAAGAATCTTCAAAACATTAATGATTGTTAAATTTATTCTGCATTCTATAAAATCAGTATCTTATAGATTGATCTTACATATCCTTTCATTTCTTAACATCTTTTCTCTGTGTTAAACAGATGCGTTCGGGTCAGCTTTCTCGAAAATTGTGGGGATCTAGTAAGCGACTCAGCCAGATTTCAGCTGGAGAAACAGAATATAATACTCAAGATTCCAAGTGATTACTTTTCTATCCTCCCACGATGAATAACTGAATCTTTATTTACTGCTTTGTAATCCTAACCACATCTCTCCACTGTCCAAAGGCCTTAAGGCTTTTATCCCTAAAAAAGTAATTTAGAGATTACTATAATTTGGTACATTAGGTTGTTTTATTACCAACATTCAAAATTTGTGGTTAACATGGAATTGAGGCTCATTAACTAACCCTTGGTCTATATACTAAATTAGATTTGAGAAAATGTATTTGATTTAGCTCAGTGACTCATTTCTAAAGATCATTAAATACATTTTTTAAACTTCCAAAATTAAGAAATCATGTTCAATTCATTAATTTTGAATAGAAAAATGAAAGGTATTTTTATTAAAATAGTATAGATAATAGGACCGTTGAGAAATGTGGCTTTTCATTCCTTCTTTAATCATTTTCCTATTTACTACTACATAAGTAATATCAGTTCACTTAAGAACCTTCTGATAGAAGTAATAAATTTTAAGGTACTGCTGCACACTCGGATTTTCAAAAGTTCCAGTTTATGTAGTAAGATTATAATCACAGTATTGAAACTGGCAGTTGGTTCATCCCACTACTATTTAACATACTAGTAATGAAAATTTATTGAGTTGTATTATTCTTTTTAAATAATAAAAATTGGGTAGGAAAAAGGGAAACTGGAGATGCATTTCACAGATACAGTTCCTTAATAGTATATTTAAGCAAGAATGCTGACTGTGACTTTGAAGATTTGTCTTTTAAAAGTAGCATATGTAGTACAATTTACATTGAGAAATTCAAATTATCTTGACTTTTTTTCTAGTAAGTATATACTATGTTTTGCTCTATAATTAGAAGAATTAGTAATAATATTCAGATATACAACTTTCATATGTTGAATGCATTTTCAGGAAAGAATGATTTCAGAGTTTCCTTAGTCTGTGAACAATGATAACAAAAGACTTCTCAAGTTTTTGTTTGTTTGTTTGTTTGTTTTTGTTTTTTTTGTGCATGTGAGTGTGCTGGTACTGGGGCTTGATCTCAAGGCCTAATGCTCTTGCTTGGATTTTTTCTCAAGACTGGCACTTTACTTGATCCACTTGATCTACTTGATCCATTTCTGGCCTTTTGCTGGCTAATTGGTGATAAGAGTCTAAAAGACTTTGCTGCCCATACTGGCTTCAGACCACAATTCTTAGACTCTTCTTCCTGAGTAGTTAGGATTACAAAACACTAGCTCTTAAAATAACAATACTCTATTTTATTCTACAAAGCATGGATTTCTTTATACCCAATTGTCTTCTCAATTAAATCTTGGAGAAGATATATTCTCTTTACATTCCTTTCTCTAGTGGACTTCACAAAATTAAAAATTTCAAGAAATAAAGTATTCTATGTAGGGAAACTTTTTAATAGTTTGATTTGTTTTGAGTCAGGAGTAGTAATCATTTTATTTATAATAAATTAAAATCCTTTTATTTAGGAAAAAATAGCTATGCATTAGTCATATTACACTGAAATCAACTGGTACAAAAATAGAACATGTAAATGTGAAGGTTTTATTTTTCTGGATACCTCTGGAATTCCTAACTTTTATATTCTGTTAAAATAAGCAAATATAACTATTAGCTGAGCAATAATTTGCTCATTTCAACATTATAAGTCCACTGAATTAAAATCACTATATACATTTTCACTTATTGTGGTGTATTTAGATGTTATCTATAGAAATGATTTCTTTGTTGTACAGTGGCAGAAATTAAAGTGTCTTTAAAGTGGAATAACAGCCAGACATTTTAGTTGAAGAATGTGAGATTTCAGCTTGGCTGTTACTAAGTCTTTTTTTCTTCCAGAACTGTACATCTGGGATAGTTGAAATAAAAATCTGAGCATCTTTATGAGGGGGAAAATTTATACTAAGACAATGACTTTACTTGGGAAGATGAGATAAAGTAGTGAGACATAATAACTATGAGCACTGAAGAGAATAAAATAACTTTATAAAAGGTTTGATGACCCTCCTCAATCAGTATTTTGTAGCCATTTAGATAAAATTGGAGGAGAAAAGGTGGAAAAATATATGGTGACATGAAAATCAGGATATTTTAAAAATGAAGGGTTGGCCTGTTTGTAAAGTATTTCACCCTGAGAACTCATGTTAGCTATGAAGGAAGTTTCAATTTATTTCTTTTAATAACAATATATCCTTTTGTAAAAGGAAATTCCAAGTATTCATTTTGTCTTAAGCAAGGAACATAAGTTTACTTTATTCTCTATATTTAGGACATATCAAAATTGTTCTTCAAAAATCAATTATGATTAGCTGAGTGCTGGTGGTTCATGCCTGCAATCCTAGCAACTCAGGAGGCTGAGATCTGAAGATCACAGTTCAAAGCCAGCCAAGACAGGAAAGCCCGTGAGACACTTATCTCCAATAAACTACTCAGAAAAAGCTGTAAGTGGAGCTGTGGTTCAAATGGTAGAGCACTAGCCTTGAACACAAAGAGGCTCAGGGACAGCATCCATGCCCTGAGTTCACACCCCACGACCAACTAATAATAATAATGATAATAATAATAATGAATGTTTTCTGCTTCTGAAAGGAATCAATATGTCTTCAGAATTAAAATTTAAAGACTAAATCTTAACTTATAACTTTTACATTTTAATTGAATAAGAATACACAAGAATATGACCTTGGATATAATTTTTTTATTTAATGAGGATAGAGACATAGCATTTGCCTTTCAGAGTATTTTAGATGGTTTTTACTAAAGAAATCACTAGAGAAAGCTTTCAAAAGAAATTTAAAAGGTTATCTCCTTTTATATATTTATAACATAAGTAGCATTTGTCTATACTACCAATCCCTTTTCAGACAAGTTGCTGGAATGTAGTTAGATATAAATATACTATGAAATGCTCATTATATAATATGTGTGTATGTGTGTGTTGGTCTCATCAAACATACTGTTAAATCTACGTTCCATGAATACATTTTTAAACTTGTCTTTGGAATACGGTTTTTGAGTAGGATATGAAGAAAGAAATATATTACTTTCTAAATCTAATCTGTTTTTCTTCTATTTGCCAGTCTAAATTTGTCCTAAGTGTTCCTCACAGAATTAGAAACTATTTTTCCCTTAAAGTGAGCAATCTTAAACATTTTACCACTCTTAACAAATATCCATTCTCAATATTATTTTTACCTTATTCATGTTTATCATATTTGCTCAGCATTTGATTTTTTTTTTTAAACTATCTCTGCCTAGGTCTTTTTTCTGTAGTTTCCTGCACTTATTAGTTGTAGTATTTTTCATCATGGCATTAGTCAACAATATAGTGTCAGTAGTGTTCATTTCATTAATATTTACAATGTGAGCCACACCCTTGCTTCTTTAAATTAAATGTATTTTCGAAGCAGTGGCTTTTATTTTTTCAGTGATAGGTATTGAACCCTGGGCCTTACAGCTCTCTAATGAGCTGAATCTGAAACACAGACATTGGTTCTTAATTTGACACTGCAGATTAGTCAATGAAATTTAATAAATTTCTAATGTTTGGACACCAGTTTGTATTTTCTAAATCTTTGAATTGATGTTAGTATTAAAATTATGGTTTGGATTATGACATATTTTCAAATATTTTCCACTATATAATAATGGCTATTCATTTTTATAAATCAGGCCCATGATTTACAAATTATTTACAAGCTTACTTAATCATTATCCTGAGAGATATTTTAATTTAAAAATAGCTTGTTATGTCAAGCAGTTTTTGATGTTGCTTTGCATGTGCAGAACAATCACACTTCATTATTGAAAACTGAATTGTCATGAACACTTCAGACCTTCCATATTTGGAAGTTATAATTAATATTTTCCTCCACGTATCTGTCAATATTTAAATAACTGAATATTTTAAACACTTGAATTAGGTAACATTTTAATGAAAGAATTAAAAATAAGTAACAAGTGCTATACTGTTTTAAAATGCCTTGGCATTTGTAGTCAGTAGAATTCTCCTAATACATAGTATTGCATAAATACAGTTCTCCATATATATTTCTCTTAAAGCATTGAATATATTCTTTCAGTACTTATGTTCCAGATGTTGGAGAGAACAGGGCAGTAACATGTAAAGGATTTAGGCATGAGCCCAGTGTTAGAGTGCATGTTTTAGTTTTGATTGCCAGAACCACAAAACAAAAATTAAGTATGTTTCATATATTAGAAACAAATTCTTCTTGCTAAAAACATAGTAGAACATAGTAGTTATGTGATTTTTTTAGTGGAATAAATTTGGGTAACAGCAATATTATCAGGTTCTTTTCTAATAAATTGTAGTGAGTCATTAGTTTATTGTCTCAGTGACACTTGTCACATGAGAGTGGTTTCTAAATACTTTGTATGATTTGGGCCTAGGAAGTAGTTTAGTGACAAGTGAAAGGACACAAATTCAGTGACATTTCACTTCATCTTAATGCTTATAACTTTATGAATTGAAAATTGAGACGGGAAAGTCACAAATTCAACATGCTTTTTTCCCATGATAGTTTTCACATTTTCTTGGAAACTTATATTTTGAAAATAATACCATAGTAATAATAACATTGTTTCATTATTTGAAAAATTACTTACCTGAGCACAGTGGTACATGTTCATAGTTCCCACTATTGAGGAAACTAAAACAGCAATATCACTTGAGACTGCAGAGGTTTGAGATAAACCTACGCCTATAACAAAACCTTGTCTTAAAAAACAATTAATATTTCAAAGTTGACTGTAAGTGATGAGTTTGTGTTTCCATTTACATGATAGCTGTCTTTTTATTTAAATTTATTTCTAACTTTTTGAAAATACAGATTCACTGATTTTAACTCTACTGCAAGTATAGAATTGTATACCTAAGAAAAGTTAGGATTTAAGTGAGATTGAAAATTTTTACTGATTAAAATATAAACTATTTAAAAAAGAAATCATATTCCAATTTGTCCTTTTAGATTTTGATGTGGGTAATATAACTTAAGATGTATTAGAAGTCCTTTGGTAGTAAGTGTACTACTACTAACTGTACTAATCAACTTTAACATGCTAGTTTTGATGTTCTTTTGGTAGCATTTCCCAAACTAAGCAATGTGTTTTATCATTTAGTATGCTCAGGCTACAAATTCATAAATGCTTCTCTTGTATTTTGAAGGAAAAGTCCCTTGTCTGTAATAAACATACTTTGCCCATCAGAATGTGAAGTTAAGTCAGTGGTCCTGAAAGAAACATCCATAGTCAGATTTAATTGAAAATAACTGCAGTCTCTTAATCCTTATATAGGGACTACAAAAAATAACTATCTTTGGAAAACTGCTTTTCTTGGGTTAAGTTTGAGTAAGCCTTTGTTTCTATATGCTTTCCAAACTTGTCATTTTAAAGTAGATTTTATTGTAAAAAGTCTTACATTTTAGACCTTTTTCTTCTTTTCTATTCAGGTTTTACTGCTATCAAAGACTAATTCACAAACATTATCACCAAACATTTTTTGTGGTAATTGTTTATTTAGGTTATCTTTACCTAAGAAAATCATGTGATTGTCTTAATCTGTTCAGAAACTCCTAACAGATTTAAGGCTTTTCTTCCAACAATTTTATTTTATAGAGTTGGAGCAAAAAACTTAGCAAAAAAGTAATTAGAAATAGCTGGCCTGCCATTTTCTGTCACTTATATTGCAAAAGAAAAGAATCCATCAGACATAAAAATAAGATATGTATTTGATCTCTTTTGCCAGTTTTTCTTAGACCTTGATTAAGTGAAAGCATTTCAGTGTTCATAGAGAGCAATGAAGTATTAAATGCATGTGTGTGCACATAGTTCAGAGGGGTTATATGAAACTTCAGAATAATTTGTTTTTAAAAAGTGCTTGGAAAGTGTGCTGCTACTTATTTAAGGATTTTGAAAGGTTCTGTAATTATCTTAAAATGTATCTTCTCATTTACTGGAATTGACCATAAAAAAGAATATTAATCCTTATTTATATCTAATTATTGACTGTGCAAACTGTGATTCATTAGGTATTTGAATGCCAAAAAAAATGGGCAGGGGTTAAAGTTGAGTAGGTTATAGACTTATCGAAGAGGTGTAAATAACTTTGATTGTAGTATTCTTATAACAAAGTTATTATTTGGTGCAATTCTTTCCTCATCCTTCTGAACTTAAATATGTAAGATGTATGTTTTATTTTGCTATATTAAGTGATGTTTTTGACAAATTCAATGTGTGTATATGAGTTAATGTTTAATCTTTTCTGTATAGTATGCCTGAAGATAATTGAAATTTTTGCACTTTTTAAATTCCTTGGAAATTTGTATTCTAATAATTTTTAAGAATGTGCACTTACTCTGTACATAATAAATTAGCTTTGTATATGACAATGGGTTTGAATCATGTAATTATTTTCTTCAGTTGATACATAATTCTTTTTGCAGAGTCAATAGAACTTACCATTGGCTTGGGTAGTCCAGTGTGCACAAGATAAGTGGTATTCATCTCGTTTTTGTTTTACATGACCATTAGTCTTCCCTTTCAAAGCCATTTCAAAAACTGTTACAATATTTTCCCTTAGAAAATGATCATATGTACTAAGTCTACAGTTGTAGATAACCGAAAATACACTGGATTGGGTTTTGAATGTTTCTTTCCTTTCATACTGAATATTTTTATGTGTGTGTGTGTGATTGTGTCAGTCCTGGGGCTTGAACTCAGGGCCTTGGCGCGGCCCCTTAGCTTTTTTGGTTGTTAATTAGAAGAGTCTCACTGACTTTCCTGGCCAGGCTGTCTTCAAACTGCAATTCTCAGATCTCAGACTCCTGAGTAGCTTACTAAGGCAGAACCTCATGGTGGGGAGCAGGGGCTGGAACAAAGTGGCTTACCACTTGGCCAGGAAGCAGAGAGACACCCAAGGAAAGAAGCTGGGGGCAAGATGTACTCTTCAAAGGCCCACCCCAGTGGCATACTTCCTTCAATCAGTCCTCACTTTTCAGTTTCCAGAATATCCTTAGTCCACTCAACTCTCAATCCATGACTGTTTAGAGTGTAGATCTCCTGGAGGATTGGCACCTAACATTATTGCTATATAATTACTTACAAACTTTCAAAAGTCTTTGTTAGTCAAGTGTGTTCCTGAATAGCTGTAATTCTAGCTAGTTGAGAGGGAGGGATATGAACAGCTCAGTTGAAGGTTACCAGCAAAGATGGGGAAAAGAAAGGAATGAAGGAAGGAGGGAGAGAGAGAAAGGAAGGAAGGGAGGGAGAAAGAGAGGAAAGAAGGAGAAAGGAAGGAAAGAAGGAAGTGTGAAACAGGAAGAAAGAAAAAGAAAAAAAAAGAAAAGAAACTTTGAAGTCTGAAAGACCTGGGGTATTGCTTAAGTTGTAGAATGCTTGTCTAGTCTGAGGTCCTAAATTAAATTCCCAGTACCACCACTTCTCCCCCCCAAAAATCTTGATGGAACATTTTGGTGGGAAGATCCTTAAATTTCTAAACATGACACTTAAAACGAATTTCTTAAAAACACAGGAAATTTTGAAATACTTATATGCAGAGTTAAAAGTATACTTTTTGCTAGGTGTGGTGGTGCATGCCTCTAATACCAGCTACTCGGAAGCACGGGCAGGAGAATCTTGAGTTCACCTCTAGGCCTGGGCGATGGCCACATAGCCAGACTCTTTCAAAAGGGTAAAACAAATAAAAAACTCACAAGCAAACACGTGTGTCTCCTCTAGATGAAATACTGGATACCAATGCTTCATTATATTTGTTATAGAGGCCAAAATCTTCGGCATTTTCAAGCACGTTCAGGCTTATATGTAATTATATACTACTCATTTAACACAAAAGCTCTAAAACTGCAAGCTGGAATGTTATGCCTTGACAAACTGCTGCCTGTGATACTTCGTCCTAAAGCTATAAAAAGCCACAGATACTTCTAGGATTCTTTAAATAAGTGGTCCTTGGTCCACATGATGGGTCGTGCTCTACATTATGGCAGGTGAAATCGAAGAGTTTGGAGTATTTTCATGCACAGAACGACTAAAAATGCACAACTTTTTGCCAGGAGCAGCGTTAAGTGCTTTTCATAAAATAATCCTATAGGCAACTCTGAGATTATTTTCACTGCTTCCCACAAAAAAAAAAAAGTGGAAGTTTAGGCATCAAGCTAACGGCGCCAGGAATCCTCCCTACTGAAAACAATAAGCTACCTCTGCCTGTCATAAGGCATCAAAGAATCGCATTTCCGGGCACGCTTCTGGGAAAGGCGCTCAAACCCTCACCCCGGTTAGATTACACCGGTATCCTGTATCTTTGTGTAGCTCTCTCCCCCTAGAATTCAGTGCCTGCCTCAGTAGATCTAGAGTGGGAACAGACCAATATGCATTCCTAGCTACTGTCCAGCAAGACGACCCAGGCACTTTGCAAACTGTTGGTTTCATCCTTAATCCATTGGAAAAACCGCTGGTCCAGACGAACATTGCAGACTCCCAACGCCTCGGAACAATTCGGAAATCGCGCCCACTGCGCTCCTGGAGGTGTGGTCAGCGCGGTCTGAGCCCTGCCACGCCCTCCAGACGCCACGCCTCCACCGACATTGCCACGCCCCCGACGCCTGTTGATGGGCTTCGCCCCGCCCTCCTACGCCAGCCTTGTCACGCCCCCCAGCGTCCGCAGGCCCCGCCACGCCCCCCGGCGCCGCCACGCTTACGGCGCCCGCCCATTCGCTCGCAGAAACTTGAGGGTTTTCCTCTGCTCCGCACGAATTCCTCAGGGCGCGCCTGGTTCGGGTGCTGCTGCCGGAGCTCAGGATCTGGAACAGACGTGGAGCCCCGACCGGAAGCGCCATGATAGACTTCGCTATCTTCGCCGTGACTTTCTTGCTGGCGCTAGTGGCTTCTGTGCTCTACCTCTACCCGGTAACTGCCCGCTCGGACCCGTAGGCTCGGGTTGTGGCTGCAGCGTCCATGGCCCGCCCCCACGTCGACTGGCCCGTCGTCGGTCGCTCGGGGGGAGGGCTTGAGGGGGTGAGGGCACGAAGGGGAGGGCGGGCCGTCAGGGGGCGGGCCTGAGAACGGGCCTCTAGGGTTTGGGCCTGAGGAGGGCGGGCCTAAAGGGGAGGGTCTTAGCGCGAGGGCCGACCTCTAGGTGGCGGGCCTGAGGGGAGGGCGGGCGCACTCGGCCGCGGGAACCACACCCAGCCGGGTGGGCTCTCCCGGAGCTGCCAGTTCAACGCCCGAGGGCAGAAGCTCTCCCCTTTTCCCTTGCATTCCCCCGGGGCTTCTGTCTGCTTCTGCGCCGCTCTGTCTGTCGCGCCGTGTTTGCAGGGATCCCGAGTGCGCGACGTCTGCACTCGGGACTGCAGAGGCGGGTGCGCGAGGGCCAGGAACAGGGCCCGGAACCTCCAAGTGCCCCATCCTCCCTTCTCCACCGTCCAGCTCTCGTCAGCCGTTGGTCAACCTGAAAACACAAGTGTTAGTGTAAAACAAGCTCCACAAAACGAGGTTTTAAGGTCGAAGCTGAAAAGCTGCTCAACAGCCCCCAAAATGTCACTGGTGGTGACAGCACGCCTTCAGCATCACTTTAGGAGCTTGTAAACAGATTTGGCAGGAATGTAGAGACTACGCGGTGTGGAAGTTTGGGAAGCTTTATTATCTGAGAAACTAAACGTTTGTAGCCGTTGTTTTGAGACAGAGTTTCATGATACCCCTCAGACTGACCTCCAACTTGGGATCCTCCTACTTCGGCAATTACCAGGTCCACGTCTTGAATATTTATCTTCAAGATAGTATTATCGCCAGGAACTGGTGTCTCACGCCTGTAATCCTAACTACTAAGAAGGCTGAGATCTGAGGATGACAGTTCAAAGCCTGCCCCAATAGGAAAGTCCATAGGGGCTTACCTCCAATTAACCACCAGAAAACCAGAATGGTGCTGTGGCTCAAGTGGTAGAGTGTTCACCTTGAGCTGAAGAACTCAGGGACAGTACCCAGGCCCAGAGTTCAAGCCCCATGATTGCCCCCCACGAAAAAAAAAGTGTTATCCTTTGCTCAGCTAGTAGAAGCAACACTTGCTTTCAACCAGTTGCATACCCCTCATGCTTTCTCATAGTTGGGAATACTGCAGTCCACAAACCAGTCAGAAAAGCCCTGTCTTGGAATTTCTGTTCTAGCTGTATAAAAATGCTATATAAAAAAATACTATATATAATTTGTTGGTGTTAGTGCTATGAGAACCAGGCCCTGGGTTCTATATCCAGCTGGAAAAAATGAAACAAACAAAAAAGGTACCAGAAAAATTGTAGTTAGAGGTAGACAGGATTGTTACAGTAGGAAAGGGAAGAGATAAAGACTCATTTGAGCAGACTTGAGGAAGGTGGAGGTGTCAGCCATTTAGATATCTGGGAAAGAATATTCTAGGTTAAGAGCAGCAAATAAGCAGGAACACCTGTGGCTGGAGTGTAGTGAGCAAAGAAGAGACTACTTTTATTTCTTCTAGATCTGGAATCTGGAGAGTCAACTAGCTTTCAGTGAGAGCTTGTTTTGTGGTTCTTGGATGGCTCATTGTTGCTGTGTCCTGGGATGGTGGAAGGAGAACACACCTCCTTTCTGCCTCTTTCATTGAGGGTACTAATCTTCATTTGGTCCCTGCCCTGATGGCCTAATTTCCACATCAAGCTCCCGCTAATAATTCAGTCACATGGAAGATTGAAATGGAATCTCATGTGTTTTTATGCTCAGGCTGCCTTAAACTATAAATTTTCACAATCTCAGCCTCTCAAGTAGCTAGAGTTACAGATGGAGAGCTAGCCACTGCCCAGCTAAGTGCTTTTCAGAATTGGCACAGAGAAAGAATAAGGTAATTTTCCATGTAAAGAATTCATAGAGAGGCTGGGAAGTTGGCTCAGTGGTAGAGCGCTTCCCTTGCATGCCTGAGGCCCTGGGTTCGATTCCTCAGCACCATATAAGCAAAAAGAAAAAAGCCAGAAGTGGCACTGTGGCTCAAGTGGTAGAGCACTAGCCTTGAGCTGAAGAGCTGAGGGACAGCGCCCAGGCCCAGAGTTCAGGCCCTACGACCGGACCCAAAAAAAAAAGAATTCATAGATTTTTTTTTTGTTTTTTTTTTTCTGGTCATGGGCTTTGAACTCTGAGCCTGGGTGCTGTTCCTCGGCTTTTCAAAAGCTCAAGGCTAGAGATCTACCACTTGAGCCACAGCACCACTAATGGCATTTTCTCCCTATGTGGTACTGAGAATCAAACCCAGGGCCTCAAGCATGCAAGGCAAGCACTTTACCACTGAGCCACCTTCCCAGCCCCAGGGCCTCATGTATGTAAGGCAAGCACTCTACCACTGAGCCACCTTCCCAGCCCCACTCATAGATTTTTATATTTGAATGCAGAAATAATTCCTTCAATTCAAGCCAGTTGGAAAACCATGGTTAAGTCTGGGCAATTTCTTGTTAAAACACATCTAACTTGAGAAATACATACTATTTCATTCCGTCAAACATTTTTTCCTTAAGGCTTCCAGACGAGCTGCAGGAATTCCAGGGATTACACCAACTGAAGAAAAGTGAGTATTTTTTTTTGTTAATCAAAAGTAAAACATGCATATAATTTTCTTGTTTCTGTTGTTTTGAAGTGCTAGGAGTGGAACTCAAAGCAAGTGTTTTTCCTCTGTGCTATATCCTCAGTCCTAAACCATATTTTTAGATTACTCATCTTATAATTCCTTGTTTATTTTAAATTTCCTCTGGGCATACAACCGAAACTTTTTAAGAACTGAAAGGAGGTTATTTAAACCCAAACCCACTAAGTGCTTTTCCCTTGCCAGAGAAAGCTGAAAATAGGACAGAATTAAGACAGAAAAAAAAGAAAAACTTGCCACAGCTGATTTGCATCAGCCTGTGATGGTGGCCATGGCTGACTCAGTTTAGAATGGTGGCAATGGCTCTCTGAGCCTAGGACAGTGGCTGTGGCTTTCTCAGAGTGAAGTACTGCTCAAGACGACTAGTTCTCTAAAGTCTAGGTCAAATGTTCCTTGTACTGCTTTCTTATTTCACTTTGAAGTGTTAATGCCTTCACACAATTGTCAGAAAAAACCCATGTCTAAATAGAACTTAACAGAGAGAAGCAAATAGAAATGAGTTTGGGATTTTTCAGTAATTTGAATTTCACAAACCCTTACTCTATAGAAAGATTCTACTATGGTTTTTCTGATTTTTTCCAAGTTAAATCTTTTTTGTTGTTGTTGTTAAATTTTGCTTTTTTTTTTAAATCAGAGATGGTAATCTTCCAGATATTGTGACCAGTGGAAGTCTGCATGAGTTCCTGGTTAACTTGCATGAGAGATACGGACCTGTGGTTTCTTTCTGGTTTGGTCGGCGGCTTGTTGTTAGTTTGGGCACTGTTGATGTACTGAAGCAGCATATCAATCCCAATAAGACATGTAAGTTAATTTTCCTTTATAATTAGCTGATCCTTATTTTCAAAGAATATATGCTTGTAAGAACTATGCATTGATCTGAAATAGGATTAATAAATTTTTTAAATGCTTGTCTAGATCTAGACATTGTTCTGGACTTTACTACCTCTTTGAATATTTCACAAGATTTCAAAATTATTATTTAAAATATATATAGATTTTTTTTTGGTTGGTTGTGAAGCTTGAACTCAGGGCTTGGGCACTATCCCTCAGCTCTTCAGCTCTACCGCTTGAGCCACATCACCACTTCCGGTTTTCTAGTGGTTTATTGGAACTTTCCTTGCCCAGGCTGGCTTTGAGACATGATCCTCAGATCTCAGCCTCCTGAGTAGCTAGGATTTCAGGCATGAGCCACCAGCGCCGGCAAATTTATAGATCTTTACAGCACAATCCCAGTATAAATTACAACAGGAGTTTTGGGAGGTGTCTGAACAAAATAGTTTCAGTGTACATCCAGAAGTATTAAAATTAGTGGAATGCACTTTTTAATTGATTAATTAATTTATTTTTGGTCGGTTGTGGGGCCTGAAATCTGGACCTGGGCTCTGTCCCTCAGTTCTTCAGCTCAAGGCTAGCGCTCTACCAATTGAGCCAAAGTGCCACTTCCAACTTTTTCTGCCAAAGTGCCACTTCTAACTTTTTCTGCTTATGTGGTACTGAGGAGTCGAACCCAGGGCCTCATGCATGCAAGGCAAGCACTTTACCACTTGAGCCACCTTCCTAGCCCATAAAATTTTCTTTTAAAGATACTGTTGTCATGTAGATAGGAAAGTCATGCTAGTATTAATGACAATGGAATTCTGAGTCAGGGTATTATATTCTTGTAATCTTCCTTTACTCCTGAACTGTTTGTATTTAGAAAAGAAGTGAGTTGTGGGAATAGTTGCTGTGTTCTTACCTGTTGTTTCTTGTGACCCTTCCTGATCTTTCATTTTGAATGAGTAATTATTTTGCTGAAGAAACATTTAATCTGTGTTGCAGTGGATCCTTTTGACACCATGCTAAAGTCATTGTTAAGGTATCAGTCTGATGGGGCCAGTGTGACTGAAAACCACAGGAGGAAAAAGTTGTATGAGAATGCTGTGACTACATGTCTGCAGAGTAACTTTGCTCTTCTGCTAAAGGTAAGGTGATCCAGTTGTTAGTCTGGTGTTACGAAGTATAGATCATAATATATTTTTTAATGAGTGGTATGATCTTTCTTTGCCACTGTTTTCCTACCTAAGTCTCTAAGCTGATTTTTATTGTCCTGATAAGCAAAACACAAAAGCCCAAAAAGTAAAACAACACAAAAGTCTACATTTTTGTAAAGTGTGTGAGTTGGAATTATGGGAATACAGAGATCTGAAGGTTTGGGCTGGGAAGGTGGCTCAGTGGTAGAGTGTTTGCCTTGCATGCATGAGGCCCTGGGTTCAATTCCTCAGCACCATATGCACAGAAAATGCCAGAAGTGGCACTGTGGCTTAAGTGGTAGAGTGCTAGCCTTGAGCTGAAGAGCTGAGGAACAGCACCCAGGCCCAGAGTTCAAGCCCCATGACCCACAAAAAAAAAAAAAAGAGATCTGAAGGGTTGTTTATTTTTTGTTTTTGTTTTTGCTTAGCAGTACTGGAGTTTGATCTCAAGGATTTGAACTTACTGGGCAGGTACCCTACCACTAGAGATATGCTCTCCATTTTCCATTTTTATTTATTTTTCAGATCTAGTCTTAACACTTTTTCTGCCTAGGCTAGCCTTGGACCATACCATGATCCTCTTACCTCTGCCTACTGCATAGCTGGGATTATAGTTGTGTGCTACCATACTCAGTTTTGTTATTTGAGAGGGTGGTTTTTTTTTTGTTTGTTTTTTTTGGTCTAGTCTGGTTCAAATGAGATTCTTTTGTCTCTGCCTCTGAAGTAACTGGACTTATATGCATGTGCCTTCTGGTCTGGCCTGCAGTTTTCTCTGGTGGGACTTGAACTAAGAAATTGTATACTGTCCCTGAGGGTTTTTTTGTTGTTGTTTTGTTTTGTTTTGTTTTGTTGCTCAAGAGTGCTGTAATGGGGGAGGGAAGTTGGAAGGGAAAAACTGGGAGAGGATGGAGGGCACTGTTCAAAAGGAAATGTACTCATTATCTGACTTATGTAACTCTACCCCTCTATACATCACTTTTACAGTAACATTAAAGAAATTTTTTTAAGAGTGCTCTACCACTTTTAGCCACCTTCACTTCCAGTTTTCTGGTAGTTAATTAGAGGTAAGTGTCTCACAGACTTTTCTACTCAGACGCTGGCTTCAAACTGTGATTCTCAGATCTCAGCTTCCAGAGTAGTTAGGATTACAGGTGTGAGTCACCAGTACCCACCTTTAGGCCAGACTCTTAACTCATGTTTAAGAAATGATCTGAATTCACCTGAGACACCCTGCTTGTAAAAATGCAGATAACTCAGCCTCTATTAAACATGTTGGGGGAGTCTAAGAGAAAAAGAAAAAAAGGGGGAAGAGGTTGGTAGTGTGGCTCAAGTGGTTAGAGTGCCTGCCCAGCAAATATGTTGTCCAGTACTACAAAAAAATAAAAATTCAATCTAATTTTTCCTTATCAGAGTTCGATTTGAAACTTACTTTCTGTTCAAGTTTTGAGTCTGACTTGCTGACTTTACCCTATGAATTTATTAATACATTGGTTTACCTCTGTATGGTTTTGTGACTCTGAACATACTGAACTGGATGGATCTTTAACTCTGGTTGCTTATTGATTAGTCTCTATCCTTTCCAGTTCTCAGTCTAATAGTTGTCCTTATATTTCCTACTTCAAGCTTGTGTATAGGCTCTGTGTATATCCTGTTCTCTGAATCCTGCTATGAAGGCCAGTTTGTAGACTTGGTCCACATATGAGAAATCTACTTCATGTTTATCTTGTTCACACGATAGTGGAGGCTATATACGTAGGCATTAGTTAAAAATAGTGATGTGTTTGGCACAAGTGGCTTATAATACCTGTAATATTAGCTACTTAAGAAACTGAGATCTGAGGATTGAGGCTCAAAACCAACCTGAACAGACAAATCCAAGAGACTCTTAACTCTAAATAACCACCTGGAAGTGGAAGTGTGGCTTAATTGGTAGAGTGTCAGCCTTGAGTGAAAACACTAAGCAAAGCTGGGCACTGGTGGCATATTCCTATAATATGAGCTACTCAGATCTGAGGATCAAAGTCCAAAGCCAGTCTGGGCAGGAAAGTCTTTTTTTTTTTTTTTGCCAGTCCTGGGGCTTGAACTCTGGGCCTGGGCACTGTCCCTGAGCTTCTTTTCCTCAAGTCTAGCATTCTACCACTTGAGCCACAGCACCACTTCTGGCTTTTTCTGTTTATGTGGTACTGAGGCATTGAAACCAAAGTTTTGTATACTAGGCAAGCACTCTACCACTAAGCCACATTCCCAGCCGAGGAAAGTCTTTTAAGACTGATCTCCCAATTCTATATCAAAAAAGCTGGAAATGGAGATGTTGCTAAGTAATTGTTCAAAACCCTGGGTACAAGCACCACTGCTGGCACAAAAGGAAAAAAAGGAAGGAAATTAGAAGGCAGGCATATTCCCTAGAATATGCCTGTAATAACTTAGAAGACTATAACTAGGAAGATTGAGATCACCCTAGGTCACTTGTTGAAACTTCATCTCAGATGGATAAAGAAATAAATAGGAATTAAATGATCAATCAGCAAAGACATTGAGAAGTTCTGCTGTCAGAGCATCTTCTTCCTCTGCTACTGGTGGTTTCTTGAGGATCATGTATGGCAGCACTGTTTCCTATAAGTTGCATGCTTCCTATTGCCACAATAATCCTTTTGGCTTTCTTTGTAATATGAGTCTAGATCTGATTTCCACATTTTGACTAAATCTTCTAATGACTCTTATCCTCTCAACTTCATCCTAAGTGCTGGTTCCTTCCTGTCCTCACCATCTTTGCTTCAAGGCTGTGTGTAAATTCCACTCTAATTCTGTGAGTATAATTTCTCTCTTCAAAGACCCATTAATCGGGTATTTTCCTGTGACTTTTGGGATACATTCTGAATGTTTATTCAGTATTCAGAATTTCTGGATTTTAGAGTTTATAGCTGTGCTCCAGAATCTACTTGCTAATTCAGTAACAATATTAATAGCCAAAATTATTAAGTTAATTGATTTAGTACCTTGTATTAAACTCATTTAATCCTCCCAAGAATTTTATTGTTAGATATTAAATAGTATTAATTGGTAGGTAGTTAAATGGTGAAGCAGCTTATCTAAGATCTCATAACTAATAAATAAGTTGTTCTCAAGCTTACATATTTAACCATAAGTCTCAATAGTTGGATGACTTCACTTACTGTTCACTGAGTGGTGTTACAACAGAAATGTTGACATATTTGGAAAAGACTATCACAGTGCACATAGAAAAATAAAGACTGGGGCAGTTAGGGAAATGCTTTTTTCACTGTTATGTTAGTTGAAATTAACATAGTATTCTATTTATTTATTTATTTATTTATCCCAGTTGTGGGGCTTAAACTCTGGGCCTGGGTACTGTCCTTCAGCTCTTCAGCTCAAGGCAAGCACTCTACCGCTTGAACCACAGTGCCAGTTAGGTTTTCTGGTAGTTTATTGGAGATTAAAGTCTCACAGACTTTCCTGCCTGGGCTGGCTTTGAACTACCATCCTCTGATCTCAGCCTCCTGAGTAGCTAGGATTACAGGCGTGATCCACCGACACCCAGCTTAACATAGTATTTTAATGTGAACAGTCTGAAGATGTTTATAAGTCATTGTATTCTTATTTGAGATGCATAAGATCAGTAACATACGTTTGGGAGAGCTTGAAGTGTGTAAATCACAGGTGATTTACACAGTGTTAATTAAACCTGGTAATAGAGTATTCTATCATAGACATTCCTATAATGCAGCCACTAGGGCCAAGTGAGAGAACTGTGCCATTGATGTAAATGTGCATTCATCATACAAGACAAAGTTTGGAGATACATCTGTATTGCCATCCATGCTGAACTCAGCCCCATGCTCTCACTTGGCCACAACTTCACTCCAGCATTTTGCCAGTTAATTGGAAATGGTGTCTCACAGGTTTTCTTTTGTTTTGTTTTTTGTTTTGGGTTTTTTTTTTTTTTTGCCCAGGCTGGTTTCAAACCATGATCTTTGGAGAAATATTTTTTAAAAGATGTCCACTAAGAAATGAAAGCATTTTGTCTACCAGTAATAAATTAATATATAATATGGAACTATCGAATGAAGCTCATTAGAATTCCCACCTGATATAGTCAAGATTCACAAGCAAATAGAATCTTCCAGTGGATGTACTAGTTTGTTAGCCTAGAATAAAGAAAAATGGCTAAGTTCCATTGACACACACATGTAATCCTAGATACTCAAAAAGCTGAGCTCTAAGTATCTTGTTTCAAAGCCAGTCCAGGCAGGAAACTTGTGAGACTGTTATCTCCAAGTAATTACCAAAAAGAAAAAAAAGCTGTAAATGGAGTTGTGTCTCAAGTGGTAGGGCACCAGCCAAGAGCAAAAAAAAAAAAAAACTTAGCGATACTGCCCAGGCCCTGAGTTCAATCCCCAGGACACACACACACACACACACACGTAAGCAAATCACAACTCGGCTTATAAGTGACAGTAATATAAATATTACTAAATATCTATGGTCATCACTTTAAAAAAAAGAAAAGAAAAGGCTGGGTGCCGGTGGCTTATGCCTGTAATCCTAGCTACTCAGGAGGCTGAGATCTGAGGATCGGGGTTCAAAGCCAGCCCGGGCAGGAAAGACTGTGAAACTCTTATCTCTAATAAACCACCAGAAAACTGGAAGTGGCACTGTAGCTCAAGTGATAGAGTGCTAGCCTTGAGCTGAAGAGCTGAGGGACAGTGTCCAGGCCCAGAGTTCAAACCCCATGACAGACAGAAAAAAAAAAAGACAAGACTTTACTAGCATAGGCTGAAAGTATTTCACCTATTAGTTGTGTTGTTAGCAGTGATACAGTTCTAGGGAAACAGATAGAGGTTAAATATCTGCAAGGTAACATATTGTCCAAAGAGCCATTTGTGTTTCATACAATTTTGAAACCATTTGTATACAATAACACATATTTGTTTCTATTATCTCGCAAAGGAAAAGGCTACTAGAAAAATCTTTGACTAACAGGTACTCAGTTTTCAATGGGAAAATTGAGGGAAGATATCCACTGGATTTCATCTAAAAAGTAGCTATATGAATTACAAAAGAAGAAAAACCATAAAGCCCAATAGAAAAAATGCTTAAAGAAGTGAGCATAGTTGGGTGCCAGTGGCACACACCTGTAGTCCTAGCTACTAGGAGGCTGAGATCTAAGGATCTCAGTTTGAAGCCAGCCTGGGCAGGAAAGTCCGTGAGACTCATATCTCCAGTTTACCACCAGCACACTCGAAGTAGCACTGTGGCTCAAAGTAGTGGAGTACTAGACTTGAGCAAAAGAACTCAGGGACAGCTCCCAGGCCCTGAGTTTAAGCCCCACAACTGACCCCCCCCCCCCCACACACACACACAAAGCGTACTTAAAAATACAGAGGACAAGCCGGGCGCTGGTGGCTCACGCCTGTAATCCTAGCTACTCAGGAGGCTGAGATCTGAGGATCGCGGTTCAAAGCCAGCCCGGGCACGAGAGACCGTGAGACTCCTATCTCCAATAAACCACCAGAAAACCGGAAGTGGCGCTGTAGCTCAAGTGGTAGAGCGCTCGCCTTGAGCTGAAGAGCTGAGGGACAGCGCCCAGACCCAGAGTTCAAGCCCCACGACCGACAAAAAAAAAAAAAAAAAAATACAGAGGAAGTCAAATAAATCAGTGTTAAGTATGTGACATCTAAATTCTACCAATAATTAAAGACAATATAAACAGTTGCTGATGTTTTGTGTGTGTGTGAATCGTAGTGCCTGAACTCTGGGCCTGGACTTTGTCACTCAGCTCTTCAGCTCAAGGCTAGTAGTGCTCTACCACTTGAGCCACAGCACTACTTCCAGCTTTTTCTGCTTATGTGGTGCTGAGGAATCGAACCCAGGGCCTCATGCATGCAAGGCAAGCATTCTACCACTGAGCTACCTTCCCAGCCCAATGCTGACTTTTTTATGTCCGATTGGCAATAACATTGTCAAAGCTATGGGAATTGGAAATTATGATACTGTTGATAAAAGTAAATTGGTACATGATTTTAAGTGGCAGCATGGTACTATATATCAAAAGCTTAAAAATTACTTCTTAACACAATTTCACATCTAAAGAAACCAAATACATATAGTTGTATGTAAAAAGAATACTATTTAAGTATTTTTTATTATAACAAAAAAGACTTCAGTGCTTGGTAATAGAAGACTAGCTAAATAATAGTAAATCTAAACATGAAGAAAGATGGCAGAGATGATTTTAAAATGATTTAGGGCTTGGGAAGCAGCTCAGTTGAAAGCATTTGTCTAGCATGCATAAGATCCTAGGTGTGGTGCTTGGCAAGACATGCAAGTACATGTATGTACGCACACGCAATGTACGTGTATGTATACATGTACGCACATACAATGTAGCGCTGATGAAATTTAGTGTCTATTAGGTTTAAGTTTCTTGTATCATTGCATTTTTAATTTGTTTTGTTTTTTATTATAGTGTGTTTTTTTTTTTCGCAAATCAACCATTTAACAGAAGCTAAATTTGAACCACTAAATATGCACTGAATATGCAAACAAAGTTAGGCTAGAGTCTGAAGTACCTTAGTGCTTACTTTGGCTAGAGTTAAACAGGGTATATTATGAAATTAGTCTACTTGTTAAAATTATCTCAGATTTAGTGAGAGGAAATAGTTATTGTTGTTTCTTATTCTTTTTCAGCTTTCAGAAGAATTATTAGAGAAATGGCTATCCTACCCAGAGACCCAGCATGTACCTCTCAGCCAGCACATGCTTAATTTTGCTATGAAAGCTGTTATACAGTTGGTATTGGGTAATACATTTAAAGAAGACCAGGAAATCATTAACTTCCAGAAGAATCATGGCACAGTAAGACTAAATTTAAATTATTTATTTACTTATTTATATTTTATTTATTTATTTATTTATTTATTTTGGGTCTGGTTGTGGGGCCTGAACTCTGGGCCTGGGCGCTGTCCCTCAGCTCTTCAGCTGAAGGCTAGCGCTCTACCATTTGAGCCATAGCGCCACTTCCGGCTTTTTTCTTTTTGCTTATGTGGTGCTGAGAAGTCGAACCCAGGGCTTCAGGCATGCAAGGCAAGCGCTCTACCACTGAGCCACCTTCCCAGCCCTAAATTTAAATTATTTAAATAAATTATTCTTTCATCAGATTGGGTATTTCTCAAGATTTAAGCTTTGTTTCTGAGCTAAAAAGAACAATGCAATCAAAAATAATTGTTTCTTTAAAAAGATTAAGATTTATTTTTATAGTAAAGCTATAAAAACATAAAATTGTGCTCTGAGTTCAAGCCCCAGTACCAGTACAAAAAAAATCAAAATCAAAGCAAAAAGGAAAGAAGTGTGAGTCAGCGGGTAAAGTTTATGCATGAAGCCCTGTACCAGTACCAGGAAAACAAAGAAAAATTCAAATGCAAAGATAACCCAAACCAGTTTAGTTTCATTGCAGCACCCTGTAGCCCATCACAAGTCTTTAGCTGAGGAATAATTCCCAAATGGCCTGGTGAGGACATGGTGAGGAGGAGAAACACCTCCCAGACTGAGGCAAATCACAGCCAATGTACTCCTGCTGCAATCTGAAGTGTGAAACTGATACAGACACACCTGCCATTCTGCCTCCCAATCACTGTCCCAGGGTTGAAGGCCACAGAGAAAAGCTGTGGCCTTGAACTCCTTTCTTAGCCTTCCTGTCACCAAGGCCAAGCTCCTGACAGAAGACTGGCAGCCAAGAAGAAAGGGATTGAATGACAAGGGGGAGGAAGCTGAGCTCAGCTCTCCTTGGTGCAAGGTCTCTCTGTTCATACATTCCTGCTGAGGAAGGGGCCCCTGTCTTTGGTCCTCTTCTGTGATATGTAGATGTGGGAGAGAGGTGGGAGAGAGGGCAGCCCTCTGATCTGTGCTTTGTGAGAAGTGGCAAGAGGAGTAGACACCCAGAAGTAAAAGAACCAAAAGGTCAATAAATGGGACTGTGGAATATTTTCATTGCTAATAAAGTAAAAAATGAAAAAAAAAACCAAAACATAAAATTGTTAAGAGAATGTATTCTAAACAAGTTACTAGGACCTGTATGTTAATACCCAATTTATTATACTTTTTTATTAAGATGGTTTTATTACTTGCATTAGATGATTTAAAAATTACACTTTTGCCAGGCACCGTTGGTTCACGTCTGTAATCCTAGCTACTTAGGAGGATGAAATCTGAGGATCTTGGTTCAAAGCTAGCCTGGGCAGGAAAGTCTGTGAAACTCTTATCTCCAATAAACCACTCAGAAAACCGGAAGTGGCGCTGTGGCTCAAGCGGTAGCGCCTGAAGAGCTGAGGGACAGCACCCAAGCCCAGAGTTCAAGCCTCACGACCAACCAAAAAAAAAAATTACACTTTTTCAGTCTTGTAAAAATAATATGGGAAAATGGTTTTAAACTCTACATCATTCATTTGTACTGAGGTGAAATAAATGGAGTTAGAGGATTCTTAAAATGTCTTCTCATTTTAATGAAGAATATTTTTTTTTTCATGACGAGCAAGTTTTATTGTAAAGGTGATGTACAGAGGGGTTACAATTACATAAGTCAGGTAAAGAGTACATTTCTTTTTAAACAGTGTAACCTCCTCCCTCATTTTTCTCCCAGTTTTGTCCTCCCAATCCTGCTGGCCCAGAAGTTGTAGAGTTCATTTTCAACATAAATGCTAAAACAATTTTTTATCAAAGTTAGGGGGTGAAAATACAATGACAATCTTTGTATTGGAATTTAAACTTATTTGATAACATTGATATTGTTTACATATGCAAAAACTTATCCTTTTCCAAATACATTTAGAATTGTAACAAATGTATACATTAATGTAACCACCACTTTGATCATGAGATAGACTACTTTGTTACTAAATCTAAAATAGATTATTATACCACCACAGGCACCTTTTAGAGTCAATTCCTTACCAGGCCTGTGGAAACCATAGGTCTGTTTTTCTATCCCTATTCTTTTACCCATTCTACAATGGCAGATAACTGGAATTAGAAATTTATGGCCAATGGAGACAGGCTTTCTATATTTAATATACTGTCTATTTTTTCCAGGCCTGGGGCATGAACTCAGGGTCTGGGCACTGTCCCTGAGCTTCCTTTGTTCAGGGCTAGCACTCTACCACTTGAGCCACAGCACTATTTCTGGCTTTTGCTGTTTATGTGGTACTAAGGAATCAAACCCAGGGCTTCATGCATAATAGGCAAGCATTCTACCACTAAGCCACATTCCCAGCCACAATATAGTGTATGAGTTGGTCATGGGGCTTGAACTCAAGGCCTGGGTGCTGTCCCTGGGCTTTATTGCTCAAGGCCAGCACTCTACCACTTTGAGCCACAGCTCCATTTCTGCTTTTTAGGAAGTCAATTGAAGATAAGAGTCTCCCAGACATTATTGCCCATAATCCTCAGATCTCAGTGAAGAATATTTTTTTAAACTTAATTGTTATATCCCATAGTGAGGGAGCTTTTTTTTTTTTTGCCTGTACTTGGGCCTGGGCACTGTCCCTTAGTTTGTTGTTTTTTTTTTTTTTTTTTTTAGTTTTTTTGCAAAAGGACTCAACTCTACCACTTGAGCCACAGCTCCACTTCCAGCTTTTTGCTGATCCCAGGCTAGCTTCAAACCATGATCCTCAGATATCAGCCACTTGAGTAGCTAAGCTTACAGATGTGAGCCACCAACACCTGGTAAGAGAGTGTTATTTCCCCTGACATCAGGTCTGGTTCTATAAAGCCAGGCTGCTTTCCAGGTGTTGGGCTTATGGATGTGTACCACCATACCGTGCTGAGAGAATATTTTGTAAAAGGGACTTCCACCATTGTTTCTAGGATTTTTTTCTATGTATTGATACCTGTCCTCATGTGTTTATGCTGTTTTCTTTTTTTCTTTCATTACATATAACCTCAAAATTATAGAAAACTTACAGCTAATATAAGGAACTCCTGTATATTCTTTTCAGTAGTTGTATTTTGTCATTAATCCGTATATATATCTATATCCATCCATCCATCCATCCATTCCTTTTTCCTTCCTTGAATTATGTGAAAATGAACTGGACTTGACTCTTTATCTGAAAAAAAGTACATTTTCTTTTATAGTGACAACATAACTATCAAACTTGAGAATTTTAACATTGATATAGTACTATTAGCCCATCTATCGTCTATATTCAAATTTCTTCAATTATCTTAGTTATGTTCCTGTTTTTCCCTCTCTCGCCAAACACAGGATTCAACTTAAGGTGACTCATTATCTTTAGTGATCCAACCTCTTCAATCTAGAATAATCCTTTATGATTTTTAAGCTTCTTTTTGCAATGCACAGAATCCTTATTTTATAGAATATCCCTTATTTAGGTTTCTATGCTAGCTAGTTCATGTATTTTTTAAAGAATCTATTATTTTCTTTATGTTACTATAAGTTTTAAAATAAAAATTTCAAATCATAAACAGGACTTAATATTTTTCCTCAAATGATTTTGTTTTTGTGGGGAGTTAGGATTTGTGACAATGTCTAGCTATGAAACCCAGGCTTGTTCAGTCTGTAGCCCAGGCTGACTGCAATCTCATGAATCTCCTGCCTCTTCTTTTTTTTATTTTTTTAAAATTTTTTATTGTTGTTATAAAGGTGATGTCCAAAGGGTTTATTTACAGTTACATGAGTCAGGTAATTTCTTTTTGGGAAATTTCACCCCTTCCCTCCTGCCACCTCTTCTTTCTTTCTAAGTGCTAAGATTATATGTGTGTGCACCACCTTGCTTGGCATATAAATGATCTTTTAATGACTAAAACGCTAAGATACTGTCTTTGTCTTGTAATGTCACTAAGAATAATAACCAGTTTGTGACTTCAGAAGCACTGACAAACTGCATCTGCTTGCTGATATATTTAGGAGACATCATGAATTCTAAGGTGGATACTTATTTCATAGGAGTTAAAATGTAAAATAAAGCCAGGTGTTAGTAGCTAATGCCTATAATCCTAGCTACATAGAAGGCTAAGATCCAGAGGATCATGGTTCGAAGCCAGCCCTGACAGAAAAATCCTCAAGACTCAATCTTCAAAATAACCAGCATAAAGCAGGCCTGGAAGTATGGCTCAAGTGGTAGAGCACCAGCTGAGGAATCAGGAGGCTCTGATTTCATTACTGAGAGAAGAAAAGAAAAAAGAGTGTGTGTGTGTGTACCAGTGTGTGTGTGCACTCTCCTTTAGCTTTTTGCCCAAGCAAAAAAGTCACAGCTCCATATCTAGCTTTTTGCTGGTTAAGTGGAGATAAGAGTCCTAAGGATTTTTCTGCTCTAGTTGGTTTCAAACTGAGATCCTCAAATTTCAGTTTCCTGAGTAGTTAGGATTATAGGCATGAGCCACTGGCATATGATCTCTCCATATTTTGACAATATTTAGATCCGTGGTCCTTTAAATACTTGTCTAACTAATAAGTCAACATTGACTTTTCATGATTGGTGATTTTTATATTTTATGAGGTTAAACATGTTAAAGAATTATTTTTAATTTTTGTGTCAGTACTGGGGCTTGAACTCAGGGTCTGGTCACTATCCTTTTTTTTTCTTATGGACTAGCACTCTAACACCTGAGCCACACCTGCACTTCTGGCTTTTTATTATTGGTTATTTGGAGATATATTTTCCTGTCTAGACCTCAGCCTCCTGAATAGCTAGGATTACAGGCATGAGCCACCAGCTCCCAGCTTTTACAGTTTTTTGTCAAATGTTCCTATTTGTTTTGTGAGATAGATTCTCATATAATCTTACATTTTTATGGATGTTTCTTTTTCTACTAATCTGTAAGAACCTTTTATATTTTATTTGTACTAGTTTACTTTTATTTGTACTATTTTGTATTACCACAAATGCTACTAGCATTGTTAAGTCCAGCTAACACTTTTTTATTATGAACTCTGCATCATTTTATAAACTTTCTTCACCCTTAGGTGTTCCTAATGTACACATCTACTATGCAAGTTTTGCAGTGCTTTTACTGGTTTAATTTTTCAATCAAATAATCTAAAATGTATAAAATTTTAAGATAAGGGTTTGAGGGCTCTTCTTTTTTTTTTTTTGGTTAGTCATGGGGCTTGAACTCTGGGCTTGGGAGCTGTCCCTGCGCTCTTCAGCTCAAGGCGAGTGCTCTATTGCTTGAGCCACAGCACCACTTCCGGTTTTCTAGTAGTTTATTGGAGATAAGAGTCTCAAGGACTTTCCTGCCCAGGCTGGCTTTGAACTGCGATCCTCAGATCTCAGCCTCCTGAGTAGCTAGAATTACAGGCGTGAGCCACTGGCGCCCGGCAGAGGGCTCTTCTTTGTTTCAAATATCTAGCCATTAATTAATAAGTTATGTTTTTCCTCCGAGTTTCTTCAGAGCTTTCAAGTTATCATTAAGACTTCTAGTAACCCACTCTGCTGCTTAACATCTCTAAATCTTAGAGACTAATTTCTAACCTTTTTTTGTGCCTCAGATAATGTTTATCAGTATCTTGAGTGAAATAAAAATAATTACAGCCAGGCATCAGTGGCTTACATCTGCAATCTTAGCTACTGAGGAATCTGAGATCCAGAGGATCAGAGTTTAAAGCCAACCCAAGCATAAAAGTCTGTGAGACTCTGTCACCAAAATAACCAACAAAAAACAAGGCTGGAGGTGTGACTTGAGTGTTAGCGTACCAGCTGAGCAAACAAGAGCCCCTGAGTTCAAACTCAGTACCACCCCCCCCCAAAAAAATTAGCTATCTGTGGATTTTATTTATTCATTTATACCATAGTCTAAAAACTGAGGACTTACTCTGCTGCCTTATCCTTTCCCTTCTCCTTTTTTAAAATAGAACTAACTTATGCCTGTTGCAATTAGTTTGAAAGTGCCTTGACTGAGATCATAAAAATAAACGTGACTGTACAGCCCACTCAAAGGAGTGGGCGAGGAAAGAGTCTTTTACTTTACTAGCTTACATTTATCTGCGTTTACTTAGAAACTCTATGTCTAGAGACTAGATGCGTGTTTTCCTATTCCAGGTTTGGTCTGAGATTGGGAAAGGCTTTCTAGATGGGTCACTTGATAAAAGTACAACTCGGAAAAAGCAATATGAACATGGTAAGTTTGGCTACTCCTAATTTTTTGTAAAGGAGAGAAAGATATATTCCCAATTTTATTTATTTCTGACTGGTTCAATTTATATTTTCTCTCTTTAAGTTTTTACTTACTTTGAAAGTTTTTCTTCAAAAAAAGAGGAGCAGAGGAAGAGGGCAGAAGACTAGGAAGAGATGCAGAGCAGAAGCAAGGAGAGTTATTGGGTTTTTTTTAGTGAAGCAGGCAATAGAGAGGATGTAGCTTGGACTAGACAGCAGGCAGCAGAAACTAGAGAACAGCAACAACAGAGAGTAAAAGAAGAATTGTTTTTTTGTTTTTGGTGTTTTTGTTTGTTTTGGTTTTTTTTGGTTTTGGTTTTGGTTTTGGTTTTTTTACCAGTCCTGGGGCTTAAATTCTGGGCCTGGCTTTTTTTTTTTTTTTTTTGCTCAAGGCTAGCACTCTACCACTTGAGCCACAACTCCACTTCTGGCTTTTCCTGTGTATGTGGCACTGAGGAATCAAACCCAGGGCTTCATGCATGCAAGGCAAGCACTCTACCACTAAGCCACATTCCCAGTCCACCAGACTGGGAGTATTCTTTTTTTTTTTTTAATTGTATTTTTGTCATTTCTTTTTTGGTACTGGGGATCGAACCCAGGACATGGCACTTGCTAGACAAGTGCTTTGTCACTGAGCTACATCCCAGCCCCAGTAATTCTGTATTATGAAGATTAAAACCTCAACATTAGCTGGTAGATTAAATGTGAAGTGAAAAAGGGAAGACAACATGGTTTTAGACCTGAATAACTGGCAAATTTGTAAATGAAATGAGAAGGCTGTAGGAAGGTCCAGGTGTTGAGTAAACCATGAAGAGTTTAATGTGTTAGGTTTAATATATTTAATATGTTAGGTTTAATATGTTAAATCTAAATGGAGATGTTGAGTTTGTTATTAAATATGTAAATCTGGAGTTCTGGGGAAAGAAAGAAGCAAAAATATTCAAAGTGTTTGGTATGTACACTTTAAACCTCAGTACTAGAGAGCACCAAGGTAGCAAATTCTGACACAAAAAGAGGCTCAAAATCTGAGCTTGGTCCTAGAATACATCATCATGAAGAAATTTATTTATTTATTAATTTATTTTGGTCATGGGGCCTGAACTCTGGGCCTAGGCGCTGTCCCTCAGCTCTTCAGCTCAAGGCTAGCGCTCTACCACATGAGCCACAGTGCTACTTCCGGCTTTTTCTAATTATGTGGTGCTGAGGAATTGAACCTAGGGCCTCATGCATGTGAGGCAAGCACTCCACCACTGAGCCACCTTCCCAGCCCGATCATAAGAAATTTAAGAGCCAAGAAGGAATCAAAAAGGAGAGGCAGGAAAAGGGGGAGGAAGTGTGACATTCAGGGAGTATAGAGTCCTGGAGCAAGTGACATCATAGGTCAGCTATGATGAAATAGATATTTGGCTAATTTGACCATTGGATATCAGAAATTTATTTCATTTAGCTTTCAGAATTTACTTTTCTGATTATTTCACATGTCTTTCTTAGTGATACCTGGTTTGAGAGAAGCAATGGAGTTAAGAAAATCTAGAACACAGGTAGATAATATTAAGGGAGAGGCTTAAGTATTTCAGGCCTTTTGGGAGCTACAGTTGTTTACTTCTCAACCTTAGTGGTAATGATATATGGTGTATTTTGGGTACTTTTTTGTATCTAAATTTTAGGGGGAAAGAAGGAAGAAAAATTAGTTCAAATATGAAGTAGTTTTTTTTGTAGTGTACTACCTTTGAAGGTTTTACACCTGGTAACATTGTGAAGCATTATTTTTTAGAACATTTAATCTCCATAAATGCTTGTATTCTAAAAATTTTTTGTTTTTTTTTTTAAGCCCTTGAACAGCTGGAATCTGTTTTAAAGAAAACAATAAAAGAAAGAAAAGAAGGGAAGTTCAATCAACATATTTTCATTGACTCCTTAGTACAGGGCAACCTTAATGACCAACAGGTGATATAATTATTAAATGCTGATCAAATAAAAACAATTATACATGTAGAGTGTGCTTCTCATTTACTTTAATCATGATGCCCTCCCAGCATTCAGTACTTCTCTTTTTTATTATACATCACACAAGCACTCAGTCTCTTTGTTATTTAGCTCTTAGAAGCAGCTGTATAATGTTGAATGTTTATGTAAGTAAATATTTAGCCAGGGTTTTCAGATTATAAATGAGGAGACAGGCTTATGTAAGCCTCCATGAACTGCCTGTGTGGACAGGTATGGCACTTGATGGCATTCACAATGCTTGTTTGTTACCAGCAGCAACACCACTGTATCTTTGCTGTTTTAGGCAAAGGGCAAATGGAGTCATTGCTCTACCAGTTCATTGTAGCATTCTTTGGCCTCATTCGACACATGGTGGCCATAAGTGGTTTTTTGGGGGGGAGGTGTTGGTATAGAAATTGAACAGTGGCAGACACTTCTCCATTGTTCCCACGACACTGTCAGTAGGCCAAGCCAGAGAAAACAGACTGAACATTTTTGTTTTGTCAAAGTGTAACATGAGCCAGTAATAGTTCCAACAGTGTCTATTGTATCAAACAGGCAATGTACTATTTAGATTGGTTTACACATGAAACAGATTTTAAGATGTAGTAAAGAAATAATACACTTTTTTTCTTTAGTTGACCCTAATTTTATACTGTTGATAATTTTAGTAGGGCCTAATATAGGCCACCTTATATGTCATAGTTTCTAAACTTGGCTTTTTTTTTAGATTCTAGAAGATGGAGTGATATTTTCTCTGGCTGGTTGCATAATTACTGCAAAGTGTAAGTATAAATTGATTTTTTTCAGATAAATTACAAAATATACAAGGTATAAAGATACTCTAAAAAGAAAAAAGGAAAGATTATTTACGAGACCTTTTTATATTTTGACTTCCCTGCTTTTCATTTTTATTCTTATTTAAAAAGCTTAATTCACATAGGTGCCTTTTTTTAAACTCCCAAGTGCTTGATACCACCTCTGAAAAATGCTATAAATTTCTTGACACATTTTATAGATTCTGAATTCTATTTAGTACCTTTAAAATGAACTACAGTTGACACCTTTCAGGAGAGCAGAGAGCTTTTCCATCTCCTGCCACTGCTTTTCACAGATGTGAGCCATTCTGCTATTATTAAAGTCTCCAACAGAGGATGTAGGCCACAGAAACCATGATTAAAAAAAACTCTTGGTGGGACTGAAGAAAATATCTATTAAAAATTCCGAAATGCATGATTTGATCATAAGATCCTTCACTGGTTTTAGGTTAGTGAAATAGCACCATTCATATAGTGCTTATAAAAAAAATTTTATAGATGTAAAAATATATGAGATAAAAATGCTTCCAGGAAGTATTAGGGTATTAAAGTCATTTAAAATGTTTCATTTACCTATTTTTAAAATGATGAATATAAATGTCAGCTTCCCACAAGTGTATATTCTTTGACATCTAGATATTATAGATTAAATAAAATGTTTACAATCATGTACCATAAATAATATACTCAACTTGCTTAATATTTACTTGTTTTAAATATATATTACTTTATATATCTATGTAAAGGGCTTTAAAAAATCTAAAATCAGCTGGGTTTTAGTAGCTGTCCTCTCAGCACTTGAGAGGCTAAATCTAGAGGATGGAAAGTTTAAGGCCAACTTGAAGACTGACTTTTTCAAAAAGCAAAAACAAAAATAGAAAGTAAATAGCTTTGGGCATTTGAAGTTCCAGTAAGCTACTGATTTTAGCAAGTAAAAGGTAAAGTAAGATAAAAATTTCTATAAGCATACTAGAAGTATCTGACATAGAAAAGTTGAGCTGTAGGTAGAATTAGCTGAAGCATATTCTAGAAAGTAGTAGTCATATTGGGATAGTTCCATTATCTGGCCAATTATAATCCCAGTGGATTCTTAAAGGAAATGTGACTATTTTATTTCCTCAGATTTATGTTCTTTGTGTAATTTTCTTACAGTTCCATTAAATCGGGAAAAGAATCCTTAAACCAGTTTTAAGACAAAATTAAGCCATGAATCTATGATGTTCCAATTTGGGTGTTCATCAATAACTGTGTTTGGGTGTTCATGAGTAATTGTGATACTTGTTAGAAGTGGATGTGTGGACCTTACTATCAACCTTACTGAATCATCTGTGAATGTGAGGTTGTGGTACCAGCCAACTCACAGGTGATTTTTGAGAACTTTTGGACTAAGCAATAATCAGTGATGGTTCTTGACCTTAGTATAATACTATTGTAAATAAAAAATGTAGACTGTTGACATATAGGTAAATCTCCTGCTATTTTGATTTATCTGTATCATTTTATTATAGTTCCTGAGAGAACTGATGAATCAATTTGTTTTTCAAGATTGAGTGAACCAGATAGTTGATCACAATCACAAAAATTGAGGTCTTCCCCAGATATGAAGTTTATTCCCTTTAACCTTGGGTAAAGAGCATTAAGTGGCAAAACTTGATAGTTTTAAGAAAATATCCAGATTTTAATATCTATTTTGGCACCTTCTATAAATATTCATGTTCTCTTCAAAGAAAGAAAAATCCTGTGAAGAATTTTGTTATTTGTCATCTCTATAAAAAATACATTTAAAAAACAAGGAAAATTTAAAACTCTCCAATCATTAGGTTTTTCTTGTTCTATACCAAAAGTGTGAATTAACTGTTTTTATTATTGCTAATATAATTTCTTACCTAGTGTGTACCTGGGCAGTTTGTTTTTTAACCACTTCTGAAGAAGCTCAGAAAAAGCTGTACAATGAAATAGACCAAATTTTGGAAAAGAGTCCTATTTCTCCAGAAAAAATTGAACAGCTCAGGTAAGAGCATAACAAAAAGAAGAGGAGACCACTAAAAGGTAAATTCAAACTGGTTTTGCTGATTTAAAGGTAATGTTATTATATAGGACATCTATCTATTTTTATAGAAATTTTAATACATTTAGATGCTAATTGGTCATTTAATCTAGTTTTTAAAATCATAAATCATTCTTTAAATTAGCTTGGCACTTGACCCATGATATAAAACAAATAGAATAATCATATTTTAGTGGTAATACAAAAATGATACGGCCTCATTGGGAGGATTTTATATAGTTAAATAGAACGGTAAATAGAATGGTAGGATTTTATAAAGTTAAATAGAATAAGCATATGACTCACTAGTTCTACTCCAAGGTAATTACTCAAGAGAAATGCAAATATGTTCACACAATATGTGTAAAGGTTCATAGTATACTCTTTTGACTCAAAAGAGTCAAAAGAACTGCTCTGGAAGCAGTTAAAAAAGTTACCATCTGGTAAATAGATAAACATATATAACCACACCATGGAATACTACTAATCAATAAAAGGAAAACAGTATCAATATTTACAACAACATGGATAAATCTCATTATGGTAAGTAAAAGAAGTGAAACACGAAAGACTACATCTGGCATGATTTCATTGATCTGAAATTCTGGCAAAACTATAGTGGTAGAAAGCCTGGATCTGCTTCTCTTCAATCTACTCTTCAAATTGCTGCTTGAGCCCTTGGCTATATGCTGTCATCACTTGGGCCACTAAAAATAAGATGCCTGGAACGAACCCAAAACCAGTTAATTCACAATCTCTAAAGCACTCTTCCTAAGTTAGTTATGCCATGTGTTTCCCTCATACTCCGGATTTTATCATAATATTTACAGTGTCTGTTTTAATTTTCCATCCTTTATATCTCCTTGACTTCCCCTGCCTTGCTGACTTTCTTTCTTCCCTTTCCTTCTTTTCTTTTTTCCTTCCTCTCTTCCTTCCTTCATCCCTTTGGGGTTTTTTGTTTTTGTTTTGTAGTAACTAGATTTGAAATCAGAACCTTAGTAGGTGGGTGCTGTACTGCTGAACCACGCATCCAGCCACTTTTTCCACTGGTTATTTTTTAGCAAAATTCTCACTTCTGCCCAGGCATGTGCTGGAATCCACCTATGTTGGATGACAGGCATGTGCATGCCTAACTCTCATTGAGATTGAATCTTAACAGACTTTCTTGTCCAAGCTGGCTTTGAATTGTGAGCCTCCTGATATCAAACTTTCAAGAAGCTAGGATTACAGGTGTGAGCCACCAGTGCCTGGCTTCCATTGACAACATCTATCTTATTCACTGTCTAGCATGTGTCTAGCATGGTGTTTCAAATATATTAGGTGTCTAATACATATTTGTCCAAAAATAAAGGGAAACGATGCTTCCTCTTTTGCTTTTGATATAAAAAACAATTTCATTACTATGCTTACATCTTTGTTAGTATTTTCAGTGTCTGCATAGGAAGATTCTAAAGTGAGCTTATGGCATAGGAACATATACATCAGTGCAGTCTGTAAGATTAGGAGCTATGGAGCAAGACAGGCATAGGTTTGAATTTTGTCGATACTGCTTACCTGATAGATGATCCTAAGTAATTCTTTTTATCTATTAAACCTGTAAAATTAGGATGAGAGCACCCAAGAATTCTGGTAAGGATTAAATGAGATCCTGCATATAAGAAATTTAAGAAAATTGATATTTTATCTTTTATGTCATTTTGATGTATACATAATATTTTGATGTGTTTTGTCAAAAATGCATTAGGACGGTGGTAGAAATTTATGCTTCTGCCAACTAGATATCTTTTTCTCCACCTTTTATTAATAATATCTCTTGTTCTTTTTTTATCTTTGCCAATTCAGCAAGTAAAAAATATTTTGGCTAGTAATCTTTTCATTACTAACGAAGTTTTGTATCATTTCATTGGCCTCTAGGCCATTTATGTTCTTTGCAAAATTATTTGAATTATCTGTCTATGTTTCTGTTGGGGTATTTGATTGTATTAATTAGTTTTAGAGAGCTTTTGTACTTCCAGTATGTATTTATTGAAAATATTTTCCTACTTGTCATTTAATTTTATATTTACAAATATAAAACAATATTTTTATAGATTATGCATATTATTGATTAGGATTTACATCATTTATTCCAAAAATAAGGGACTTTTGACATTGTTTTGTTGGTAGTAGTAAGACTTATGCTTCTTAGGGAGGCACTTAACCACTTGGACTACATGCGCAGTCCAATAAAGGACTGTGTGTGTGTGTGTGTGTGTGTGTTTGTATGTGTGTGTTTATACTACACAAGGGCTTGAACTCAGGGCCTCACACTCTTGCTTGGCTTTTTCACTAAAATCTGGTATTCTACTAGTTGAGCCACAACTCTGCCTGCAGTTTTTTTTCTTTGTACCAATACTGGAACTTGAATTCGGGGCCTGAGTACTATCCCTGAAGCTCTTTTTTTTTTATTTTAACTTTAATTTTTTAATTGAAAAGGTGATGAGCTGAGGGTTATAGTTACATAGGTAAGACAATAAGTACATTTGTTTTTAATAATTACCCCATCCCTCTTTTTCTCCTACTTACCCTTCCCTGCCCTCCCCCCCACCCAAGTTGTAATGTTCATGTTTGACATAGTGTCAAGTGAGTGTCAAGGTTGTTGTGGTTCATCCGTGATTCCCTTTCCCTTTCACATACTGCATTGTTTATTATATGAAACACGAGGTACAAAAAGCTGGGAGAAACAAAGAAAAACAATAGAGAAAAAAGAATGAACTATATACAGGGTCTAATGAGACCCTCTTATTTCTATTTGGAGTTCATGTTAATATGCTTCATTATATATAGTCCTTTGCACTAAGCACTTGGGTTCTTGAGATCACCTGTTAAGAATATCATCTGTGAAGATGGCGACGGGGCAGTAGGGAAATGCCACAGCTCTCCCCAACCAAAAAGAGAGTTTGAGTTCCAACACTTAACTCCCCAAGAGATGGACAACGACAAAAAGATGAACACCCAGAGAAAGACAGGAGGCGGAAAAAAAAAAAAGAGAGAAAAAGAAGAATTTCAGAACAGAGAAGAACGAAGACCCCTCCCCCAACTTGTACTAGCCACCCGGCAGCGTGCCAAGCCGTGGCCAGCCCGGCCCAACGGGGGCTGCCGGAGTCCCAGAGACACAGGGGGCTGTCTGCAGGTCACCCCCGCAGAAGCTACATGAAGTAACGGTGTCGGACCCACTGATCGCTACTAACAGAGAAACCTCCAAGCCCAGAGCTTGCACAAAGATCCCACCCCTACCCCTCACTCTCCATCCAGAGAGGCTCCATCCTGCCAAAGCCACCCAACCCCATGGCAGGAACCCCAGAGCTACACGGGACGCCCACAGAACACCAGAGCAGAAGACCTGCAAGGAAGTGGTGCTGATCCAGAGAGCACAGAGACAAAACCCAGTGCTCAGAACCTGCACAGAGGCCCCACCCCCACCCCTCGGGCGGAGGCTGGAGGCCCATCCCTGCAGCACAGACCCAAACAGTGTCTACCGTGGTTGAGACAGAAGAGAAACATGCAGAGCCACTACTGCCCAGCCCAGCCCACAAGCACCTCAACTGAACTCTGATTGCAACTGCAACCAACGACCTACATCACACAGAAACAACAACTAGCTCCAGGGTGAGTACCCTGCAGGGGACAGTGTATCCCTTAAGGGAGACCAGAGCTGGTGGGGATCCCCAGACCCTGACCCAGACCCCCTACCCCAACACCTGGACCACAGGACCCACTAAAACTGGGAACTGTACAAGAGCTCCACCAGCCCATGGAGCACACTCCGCTGGCCAGGCTAGAGCAAGAACGCCCCTGGAAGGGAGCTTAAACGCCCAAACCAGGAACAGTGCCCCTGGGTCAAAACACCCAACAGTGGAAGAAATTTGAACTGTGTACTCCAGGCTGTGTAACCTAGGCGGGATACACAACAGCACAGGTCCAACCAGTGTGCCCCAGGCCGGGGGCCAGGACCAGACCTGGGGATCCGGTGCCTTAGCAACACAACCAACTCCTCCCAACTGAAGTCAGAAGCTGAGCATACGCCTCAGCAGAGGGGAGACAAACAGGGAACTGCACCCCCTGGGAACTACGCCTGGGACAGCAAAAGACCCAGGGGTTCAGGACAAGAGAAGCCTAAACCCCACCAGAATCCGACCCATATATTCTAGGCTGGGAATTGAACAACACAGGGTGCCAGCACCTGATAATAGTCGGGAGCTCAGGCTGGTAAGGTGGCTCAGCAGTAGAGGGCTTGTTTTGGGTGCATGAGGCCCTGGATCTGATTCCTCAGCACCACATAAGCAGAAAGGGCCAGAAGTGGTGCTGTGCTCAAATGGTAGGGTGCCAGTCTTGAGCTGAAGAGCTGAGGGACAGCGCCCAAGCCCAGAGTTCAAGCCCACAACCGGCCAAAAAGAACATCAGGAGCCCATAGCAGACTCCAGCAGCTGGGAGAGTGCATCCAGCACATCTGATCTCTCCAAGAGCACCTATAGGAGCAAACAGGAGCACTCCAGGCTGTTCAACCCTTCTAAAGGCGGGAACTGCCAGTGATCTACAGCAGAGAGCCGAGAACCCTATGTGGGTCAGACCAGCGGCTGGAGGTCAGCCCCCAACAGAACCGAGATCAGGCACACACTCTCTCTACCAGCACAGAAACAGCAACCAAGCAAAGACAGACGCCTATTGACCAAAACAAAATTTCAGATTAGTCTCCAATAATCCCTGAATTCCCATGCAAAAATCACAGAGAAAAATTACAACGTTTATCAACACCAGGATAGCAAGCTATTCCCAAAAGCCAGCAGCGACCTAGGGGAGAGCCCCAGTGGGAGCAAAGCAGGAATGGAAGACAAAAGCTACATCCAAGAGATGCTGGAGGCAATGACTCAAGAAATAAAGCGAGAAATAGACCAGAAATTGAAAGAGCACAGGGTCAAAATATT